GTCCTTTTTTAAGCTGTAGACTATTGTTATTTCTATGACACAGTTTATACAAGCTAATAAAACAAAAGCCACATATTCTAAAATAAAATAAAACAAACAAAATGTAAAAATCGACTCTCACAAACACAAATTTTAAGTTTCCATTTTTGGGTTTAGTCCACAGTTCCACTATTTTTAAAGCTTATATCTCTGTCTTTTGCTGTCTACATCTGTTTTCTGTTGTGTGACTAAATATCAGTTAAAGTCACTATATATAAATAGATACAGTAATTACCAAGATATAGACCCTGCATAATGTAAAGTATGTTCTTCCGTAATGTTTCTAACGTGCTCATTTCACAGATACAAAACAGGCCACTGCCACTTTACTCCTGGAAACAGAGGAGGTCCGGGTGACCATCGGTGCATTAAATCAAAAGGTAAAACACGCAATGCTTAAATTTGCACTATGGAACTTTTCTGGTAGAGGGGTGATTGTCTCCAAAGAGATGTTATTGTTTTGCCTGTCAAGTTTCACAGTATGGCATTAAACTTTATCTATTTGTTTCACTGACTCAAATACAGACATTTTGCTTTAAAAATTCCTTTAAAACATGCATTTCTGTGATTGAGCTCATCACTCCCCAGATCTGACCTGTAAATTGGCCTGGCTCCCTCACCTGCTTGTCTTCATACAGACGGATAAGTTTAATGCCCAACTGCAGCAAACATTCCAGGCAAAGAAATAATATCTCTATGGAGACAAGCAGGCGATAGACCCTTCACTTGAAAAATTACTTATTACAATATTTCCATCTCAGTTAGTGCCATCTTCTCTTCCCCCATATCTCCTGCCTGTAGCATCTTGTATCTGTGCGTTTTTATTTTAATGTAAACTGAGGCAGGTGCAGGAGCGTACTGTGTGGAGCTTTAATTCATCAGGCCTGACTCTTGTGTTATGCACTGGAGAGGAGCTGTTCTGCTGACTGTAGAGAAAATCCACCAGCCAAGCTCTAGTTCTGTACCCGTGGCCCCTCTGTTGCCCCTTTAGCTTTTATTTTGGTCTAGTTCTAAATGTTCTGCCCTTCACTCTTCCCAATGTGCGTCATGCTGCTGCGCTCCCCGTGCCTTTGTGGGTTTTGCCTGAGTAAGAACCAAGTTATTTCAAAGTTGTTACCATTGACGTGAAAGCTACAGTATATGTGAATATTTTCTTCTTTGCATAATTTTTAAACATTAGCTTATAGTGCAAAAGTCTTGACAGTTCCTTATAGTCAGGGAGCCAAAGTCTCAAAAGCTCTAGAAAATGGGTTGAACCTGACATCGCCTGCCATACTTTTTATTTGTGTTTTTTTTGTTAACTGTGACCCTGAGAACCATTAATTGGAGGGTCTGCTCTTCCGGAAATATCGCGCGGAAAAAAAAATTTGGCCATTTTAGTGTAGGTAACCTTCATTTTGTGATAGAAAATTTTGAAAAAGGAAACATTTCCTCAAATCCTCAGTGGATTGGGTAAGTTGTCTACAAATGCATTCCAGATGCAAAGAACACATGTGGTGACAACATTCAGTGAAAAAAATATTCATAAAACACATTTCTACATGATTTTGGCTCAATTTAATGCCAAAAAATAAGGCATTTTTTCACTTTTTTCCAATATTTTCATCTTTACCTCATTGGCAATCAACTATTCCCCCAAGTTTTGACATCAGCCAATATGCCATTCTTTTCTTCAAACAGTATAGTTATTCCACAGAAAAAAATATAAAAATCCAACCAAAATCAATGGATCTGTGATGATTTCTTTACCATCAACAGGCCCAGAACCTCAATAGAAAGTTAGGCTACTCTCAACATTCCATAAGGCACACTGGATATTTAGCATGGTTGTTAATGTCCACATTATTAAACATCATGGTCCCTCACTCCACCTTGTTCACAAATTTAAAAAAGTCAATGCCAAAGTGAAAGGCACCAGCTGTTCACCAAGAAACACCTTCCACTGCAAAGATGTGATGTTGCTGTAAAACCACAAGAACAAGAAAGTGCAGTGCAGTCTGTTTGTCTTCTGTACGTGTCACGTGTCAACAAACGGGATTTTACTTTGATGGTGCTCCACATACAAAATGTTCTCTGCAAACACAGGATGAGTTAGGAAGCCAAAGGTTTCCTTTTTGGTTCTTCCAGTGGATCAATCCTGCCCATCACCTTCACCTTTCACTATTTTTCAATTCTGTTGGGAAGGGAAAACAGTTTGAACAGAGGTTTGCAGTCACACACATCTGATTCACTTTTGCATTTATGGAGTTCGCAAACAAATTTCTTGAGTCGTTTTCCGCTGTTAGGATCCAACAACCACACAATTAACGATATCTGAATCACAAAACTAAAATATGACAATATCAGAACCAGAAACAAAAGTGATATGGTTCAAAAGTCTTGAAAAGATCGACTTTGACAATAGACACATTCCACTGGGAAAACAAACATGGAGGTTTGATGCTCACTTTTTTGGAAAATCCTTCCCAGTATGGATTACACAATGACTGGAAGTCTGAGATTCTTGATGCATCTATAGGACGCCCAACAAAAACTCTGGCATAGCCAAACCAAATTTGGTACACAGATGCACCATGGGAATAGGGACAAAAAAGTATATTAACAGGAAGTCGGCCATATTGGACTGATCGCGCGACTTGGCGCCAAAGGCGCATTTTCTTGTCCTCATATTTGAATGAACTCGTCCTAAGGCGTTTGACCCACACTCACTAGAATCATTCTGTATCATCTAGACGAGTGAGACATTAAAAGTTGTTTAAAGCTTTTTAAAACAGTTGTTGCTGTGGCAACGGTGCAAATTTCGGGTTTGTTTTTGCAGCTAGCCATCAAACTTTGACGCGTGATAATTCGCACAAACTTTGCCCAAGTTGACTCAAACTTAAATTGTTGGTGGACACTCCGACCCTGAACAGATTTATATAAGAAAATCTAAACTGGACGCAATAGCGCCTCCTAGGGAGGTTGTATGGAACAATATAATTTTACTTTGTCGTAGGCATGTAAAATCTGGTACACACATTCGTGGCCTGGTCTTAATGAAAAGTCAATGACGCATCTGAAAAAACACGAGGGAGAGACATGCTTCATTTGAGAGGTTGAAAAGGGCCTATATTCTGCTACACTGACTTTGTTGTTTTATAAAAATGTGCCCTTATCAAACACAAAATCAACTGAGTTTTTTTTTTTTCCCTCTTCCCGCTCGAGAGTTCAAAACACTGGTCACACAGTCTCCAGTGTTTTAAAATCCATTCACATTTACTTTCACATTTACTATAGCAGCATATTGCCTTCTAAAAATAGATCGATATCAGGTCAATATGTAGACTTCTTAGCGTATCTGCCTTAAATCTCCAGTACATAAATAAAAAATAAAAAAAACACTCAAAACTTTATTTTAACACTTTAATAAGAAGCGCTCGCTTAAAGGTTTGTGGTAAAAAGGGTTCTGGGTGAGTTTGTAGTAAATTTAAATTACATCATACCTTGACAAGTTAGAAAAAACTAGAAAGGTTGTCAAGATTATAAGGTCAATCAATCATTCTTAAAACGTATTCTTGGTACATCTATTCAGTTACTTTCAAACACTATCCATCCAGGCATGTTTTTGATGAGAAAACAAAAGTAAAAAAGGTTCAAAACATTTTACCTGTGTCACTATCAGGGTGTGAGAGGTGGTACAGTACCTTCTTCTCTGGAGGCTTCACTTGTGGTTCCTCTGCTTCCTTCTTGCTCTGAGGAGTGGAGCTGGACTTGTGACTGAAAAGGTCTCCATCTTCATCCTCATCATCGAACAGATCAACAGCCTTTTTAGGTTTGGGCTTCTCCTTTACTGCTGAAAAAAAAAAAAAAAGAGTTTAAGGAATTATATACAGGGACAAAATCAGTTTATTTGACTTATGCCTTTGAGCTTTGAACAGAGGCGATTGAGAAGTACAGAACATAACTGCAGCTAAACTTTTCCTCTGAGTCAATAAAGTATAATCTATCTATCAGTCTATCCATCTATCTATCTATGTAGCTTTCTTAGGCAGTATGAAACAACCACGAAGTGTCTTTAAAACCTAAAATCTCACAAACAGATGTAACTGGAAGACTAGAAATAATAACCAATAAACAATAAACAATAACCAAAATATTGTGACACCGTATCCTCAAAGGTCTCACAGTAATCACATTACAATATATCGAATTACAAGTCTCTTCACTGCAGCAATAGCTAAAAAAAACAGGGGGAACTACATAGACCATTATCCTAAAATTTATCAGCACTTTGTTAGCCTCCACAAAATATCACAAAAAATATCGTACTGTGAGATTTGGATACCGTTACATCCCTACTTCTTGTCCGTCTTATCAATTTTGTCACATTTTAGTTACCAGATGTTTTGACTGAGTTTCCGCTGAAGAAGTCATCCTCCTCTTCATCATCAAACAGCCCTCCTCCCATCGGGGTTTTAGCAGCTGGAGTCCCGTTTTCTTTACTCTCCACAGGTTCGGTGTCAGGCGGTGAACCAAACAAATTATTCTCTGTGAAAATAATTTTATTTAGATTTCGTTTAAATAAATAATGTATAATTGAAAGGATGAGAGTGGGACCTACCTGGGAATATTGAAACTCCACCAACTGGAATCTTCTTTCCAGACTTTGTGGAACCTAAACAGAGAGAAGTGGTGTTTTTTTTGTTTTAGTTTTTCTTATCTCTAAACTAATTTATTTTTTATTTTATTTATTATTTTACAGCATCTCCTAAGTAATGGCAGGACATGTGATGATTTGATATTCTGTTTCAAGTTTAAATTTTGATCAAATGAAGTGGTCAGTTTTTGCTATGTGGACAATAGTCTGTCATTTTTTGATCAATAGTTGAGTTATAGGTCAGGCTCACCTGTAGATGGTGCTGTTGTTTTTGCGGTGTGTTGTATTTTTTCCTCCTTCACTGGTGGTTTAGGTGCATCAGAGAAAAGGTCTCCCTGAAATACACAAAATTTGTGGCAGTCAGATTTGACAAAACTTGTTTATACTCTTTCAAAATGAAATTCTAATGCATGAAGTTCTCATGCAAAAATGTATAAAACATTTTGTAGATAGATTCAAGCTGGGGTAGACTGCTAATAAAGAGATGTCTGCTCTACTCCAAGGTCAAATTTATTGAGAGCAGTAGGTTCAGAGTCATACCTCGTCATCATCATCAAACAGGCCCCTCCCCCCACTGAAGAGTCCGCTCTTTACTCCAAATGGAGACAGGTCTTCCTCGTCCTCCTCCTCTTCGTAGTCCATCTTTGGAGGCTTGAACATGTCATCACTGTCCTCGTCCGCTGGAGGATACAACAGAAACATGGGACATTCAAAATAACATTATTAAAGTAAATATTTAAATGAAATGATTAAATATTTAAATCTAGGCTCCAAAACACTTCAGAAGTTATATGAACTTAATAGAAAAGGTTATGAATTACTAAATACGATAGTGGCTCAGTGGTTAGAGTAGGATCTCCCAACCCAAAGGTCAGAGAATTAAAGTTCTGTTGATATGTCCTTAGGCAAGACACTTCACCCGCGTTGTCTAGTATAATTGTGGTGTGTGCGTGAATATAGATAGAAACTCACGATTAATAAAAAAAAAAAAAAAGAAAGAAAATTGCATGAATAAAACACCTACCCTCTGGTTTGGCAGGCTTGGACTCTTTCCGGCTCTTACTCTTCTTCTTAGAGGACAGTGCTTTACGGATGATGGAAACACAAGTTCATGAACATGCACATGCAAAGATGGCTCACACAGTAACTTAAATATCACTCAAACAAGATGAACAACGGAAATGCAGTGCAAACAAAACCAGAGATCTGAGCCTTACATGCACGGTCCACCTCTGGTTTAATCACAGGTTCTCCTTTGATTCTAGCTGCCAGCTCATCTGCAAAGGACGCCTGGTGTGTGCTCTGAAAGACAATAAAACATAGTTATTGAATTATTTACTCTGTACTTTACTGCATATTTATGTAGTATTGTTTAAGTTAAACACTTTCTCACCTTTGTATCTTCTTCTTCCTCCTTGTCAGATTCTCCAAATATGTCGGAGTCCTCATCATCTTCATCGTCATCATAACTCAACATGGACGACTTCTACAAAATTGGATGATGAAATTAGCCTGTTACTTAACACAAAATGAAACTTGGTTTGTTGTATCCAAGTAGATTTGGAATTCACCTTTTTAATTTCCGGAGTCTCATTGTCATCCTGGTTGTAGTCTTCATCTGAATGCTGAAACACAGATAAATATCAGGACAGAAATTATAAAACAAAGTCACAAAAGTGAATACGGATGGCCACACCATCCAAGTCAACACGTTGTGCATTAAAAATCAGAAAACCATCTTTTTTTAACAGTCAGTTCTTTGATGCTTGATGTGTAAGCTGTGAATCCCATTCAAAATACTTAGAAAGCAACCATTTGTTCAGAAAGTGTCAGTTTGTGCTTTCAAATTAACTTTTGAAATCCTTGTGATTGCCATGATCAGCCTCCAGACAGTAAATGCAAAATTATTCAGCTCTAGTCGCGTTGATGCACTCATGTCAAAGTTGTGGCGTGCAGTGCATTTGGGGCCTAACAAGTGAAAACTAAATAAAAAATGAATTAATGAGGACTAAAACCAAGACTTAAATTTGATATTTTTGCTAATGAATCACATTATATTGTACAATAAAATTGGATATTGTTACACCCCATAAATTTGACAAGATAGTCAGATAAAACTTTATTGATTGAGAAGAAAATTCAAAATGATTAAAGTTTATTACATTTTAAATGAATCCTTACCACAGCAGCTTTGCCATCTTCACTTTCAATCACACTGTCTCTGTCACTGTCCACGGACATTTCTGTTGAAACACACAGGGTTAACCGAATGTCCAATACAGCCAGAGTAAATATTATTCTGACTATTACCGTCACTGGAGAGGTCACCCAAGCCCACGTCGTCTTGCTCCATAAAAGCCTGGGAGCCGATCAGGTATGGGAGGGGTCTGTCTACATAAAGGTCCTGGAAGTCATAAAAAGGACACATTGATCACTTTCTACAAATATTCATGTCAAAATTTTAGACTACAGTAAATATTTTACTCTAGGTTGAGAAAATATTTTTGAACCTTGTATTAAAGTGGGGGTATGACACATATGGAGTATGAATTGCTAACTGCTAATAAATTGCTAATGTGTTCAGATCATCATGTTACCTTTTATTGTTTTGAAAATGCTATGAAAAACGATGTCATGTGGTCAAAATGAAGTACTCCACTGTGATTTTAAAACACTTTCACCATAATCATTTGGATGATTTCAGCCCTGGAATTACCAATCTCTAGTGAACGTATGATAAAAGGTAGATGTTAACTTGAAAAATACCACTACATTACATCACAAAATGGAACAGACCATTTTGAGCTTTGGAGATGTAAACAGACTAATAATAAAGGATTACTCAAACATGTGTCAGAAACAAAACACAACTCCAGGTATGTTTTTAAATTTTTTGTAATACAGGAACAGAAATATAGGAACAGAAAATGCTTTGCTATCTACTTCGGTTATTTATTATTTTTAATAGTCTTAATTGATCTGTAATCTGTAATGTGAATAATTGTCTGACATATAGCAATACAGTACCTTGGGCTCCAAAATGGCGTCCACTCTGTCAGGCACCTCTTCGTCCTCTGAGTCGGAGTTTCCAGCTTTAATGTCCAGATGTTCAAACGCGGACTCCAGGACTTTGAGGCCATAAGTGACCGCCTCCTGCATTTTAGGGATGAGCTCGGCCTCCTTCTGCTCCTTCGTCTTCTCCTAAAACAGCAAAAACATTACAGGTCAGAAATAAGAGGACATTTTAAGCTTTGAAGTGGCTCTTGGTATTTGCATTTTCAGTTATGACACAAGGAAATTAACTGCAGAAGTATAGAACATATGACTTTGGGCAGCAGTGTATCATTTTCTTCATATTGTATTGTCAATATAATATATTGACAATATTGTTTTATTCTTTTGTATTGTCAATGTGACACTAATGGACAAATGTTTAGTAGAGAATTTTAATCATTTAGTAGGGTGCTAGAATGCTCAGAACAAGCCAGTGGTGGAGTGTAACAAAGTAAAAGTACTGTATTTAAGCCAAAAGTTTAGGTATCTGTAGTCAATACAAAGTCAATATTTTCTACTTTTACTTCACTACATTCGAGCACAGGTATCTGTACTTTCTACTCCGCTACATTTTTTTTTAAAAAACAGAGCTGAAAAGTAAAAGTATTTTTATCATTGATTTTTTTTTTTTTTTTTTTAAACAAATTTCAGGAAAAATCTTTATCAAAATCACCACATTTGAAGCTTTATTAACTCTCTCTCTATATTAAATAATTTTTACATTTTACTCCTTAAGTACATTTTAAATGTAAGTATGTTTTTTCATGTGATACTTTTACTTGAGTATTTTTTGCTACGGTATCTGTTCTTTCACTTAAGTAACAAAATTGAGTACTTCTTCCACCACTGGAACAAGGCTAAACACACAGGGGCTACAGGATGGTCCAGGGGTTAGATCACAGCGCAAATTAAAGATGAAATAATACTCAGTGTATGGCTGTACTCAAACTATCAATGCAGCAAATATATCAAGACAAACGTCTTAGCAATATAGGACCTTTAAGGGTGCGTACATACTTGCACACACAACATCAATATTAGGACTAAACTGGAATAAACCCTGAACAAGATCAGGACTAAAACAAGTCTATAGCAAGACGATACCAGTGTAACCTTATTATACCTGCTCGGGCTGTTTTTCTGTTGCGTCAGCTTTGGCTACTGTCTCCTCCACTTCTTCATCATAAACCCTCTGCAAGAGGAAACAGTTTATTACCACACACACAGCATTGGGTTATTGGCTTACTTGCGCCGCACAGGCTCACTCGCACCACAGGCTCACTTTTACAAATAATAAAACAGATATATACATTCTCTATGAACTGTGTATTGGACAGCATGAGGAAGTCGTTGAACACAGAATGCAGGCAGCTGTCCGTGGCCTTCGTGTCTCGGATCAGGCTGTCCAGCTGTTTTTCGATCTCGTGAGTCTTGGACAACATTCTCTGGCTGAAGTCTTGAAGGAACAGGAAAAGCTGTGAGGACAGATACAAAGAAAGTAAAGAGATGAATGATAATAAAATCAAAACTGAGATGCACCGTTACTGTAACTGAAATTGAATAGCTGTGCCAACACTGAAAAAATTAGCAGGATTGGGTATTGGTTCCTGGTTGGGCATTTAATTGGACATTATAAGACTATTTACAGGTTGATTTTGTCTCATAGTGTTTTAATTTTTATTCACACAAACTGCTTCTGTAGTCATTTGAAGGATAAATAACAGTTGCATAACACAATAGGATCTTTTGTGTAATAAGTTATAAGTTACACTTTTAACTTAACTTAACCTATTACACAATACCGTTCTTACACTGGTATTGGCTAATATTGGGTATTAACAGGTACTTAAAGTTAAAGTATTGATATCTGTATTGGAACTGAAAAATCCAGATCGGTGCATCCCAAATCAAAGCTCCATCATAAATTGTTTGAAGCCATGAATGACAAAAACATGTCTGAATAATATCTAATAGCAAATATGATGAGACTGAGATTTGCAATATTTCATTAAAAAGTGAACTATGTAATTTTTAAGGTTACTGTCTATCCGTAGTAGTACAGCATGAAACAGCAATGCGACCAAGTTAAAGGTCCAATAAGATCTCAATGGTGACAAGTAGGTGGTGTATTCCCCACTAGAAAAGTTAAACAGAACTGAATTTTTAAAAAGTAGAATAAGTGCATAATGCAAAATAACCTCTATATTGCATTTTGATAAGCACATAAGTATAAAACAACTGAAAGAGACAGAATCCATTTTTATAGGAGGTCTTCACCACATTGTTGGCAGATTTTATATATAATTAGACCCCATGCAGACTGTGCATTTCGTTCCCCATCAGGGATACGTACTGAATATCTCATTTTTTTTATTCCATTTATATAACATCTGCCATCTACAAAACAATTTATACCCTCATACTAAACTATACAAAAACTAGAGTCCACTCTATCTATACACAAATGAAAGGAGTGTATTTAAAAATGGCCCAAAACATAGTATAAGATGAAAAAAATAGGATGAAAATTGCATTCTATTGTCTAAAAAAAGTGTCATTGTCATCATTATGGTATCAAAATATCTTTTTTTTCCTTTCGAGTTTGAATTTTGTGTGTGAAAATTATGTGACAATACTTTTACATTACTACCAATTCAAATAGACAGTATTTACCCCTGAGTCAGCTGCCAGGGACCAGTTGGCGCTGTTCTGTTTCATTTCTGCTATAGTCCACGGCCTCTCCCAAACCTGAGCGCCATTATCCACATGGTCACTTTTACTGGGGCCATTGGTCAGCCCATCTGGTAACCCACTCATCTGAAAAACAAATAAATAAATGTACAAATAAATGTCAAATGGATTTAAGATATAGGACTGAGATACATAAAAAATTCATAATATCACAATTATTGTTTTAGAGATATGCAAATCTAGAAAACAAAGTATACTATAAAAAGAGGTAGGGTTATCAGATAATCAGATACTAATCAACACTAAAACCAATATCATTAACTAGATACTCATTTGAACAGGTACCAATGCTAAAAAAAAGTCACATTCACGGGAGAGAAATTAAACTTTCCTGAATAGCTTTAGAATGATCTTGAGCTATATCAGAACAAGTATAAGAGCACATAGACTAGTATAAACCCAGAGAGAGATTACACAGATATGAGGTCACATGGTAATATAAAATAAAGTACTATTGTTTAATGTTGAAAATGACTTTCCAGTGGTTAAAGAAATAATGTAAATGTAAAATAATGTAATAATAATGTATCATCAATGATGATACATTATTATTACATCATGGTATTGATTCTTTTTCTTAGTAGTGAAATTTTAGTTTGAAATTTTAGTATTGTAACTACACTATTTTGTTGAAAACATGATATGAAAATTATTGCACCATCATATGGAATCATTATTATCATTATACACTTAGTACACTAATACTGATATAAAAGCTACAAATTGCACTAAATTATCCAGGAAACATTGACCTAAATGGCCCATTATGCTTTTTTCTGATCTGTGTTATGATGTTCTGTTTTGTTTCATTCACACATTTTTTTAAAAACCAAAGGTAAAAAGTAGCTGTTAACTTGAAAACTACTAGTTCATGACATCACAGGGTGAAACAGAGCGTTTTGATCTTTGAAGACATAGACAGACAAATAATAAAGGATTACTCAAATGAGTGAATGAAACAAAACACAACTCCAGGTATATTTTTGATGAGGTAACAACATCATAAAACAACATCATAACATGCCTTAAATCTCACAAGAGTACATACTGCATAATATAGCGAACATATTTCCTGACTATAAAAATGCGTGGGGTTACAACACGAAGCCACTTCCTCATGTGACTGTTGTAAATGTAGATTCTCTCACAGGGACCACAGGGACTCTCCACTGTCCATGCCAAGGTTCAAGTATCAAAGGGACACATTTATACTAGTAGTAGCAGTTTATTTTCTTTGGTCAGTTAACATAATCATGCATCATATAACAATGATTTAACAAAACAAAACAAAAAAACAAAACAAACAAACTATGCAGTTAATGCATATAAATAAAGTTATTCTGTAGACCGAAGGGGTTTAGGCTGAAGTTTAACACTTGTTTTGCCAAACCCTATCACGTTTATACACACAAAGTGTGACATTAAAGGCATCAGAGGATTCAGCAGAGGAACCCTCAAGTTAAGTCAAATAGTGGTTTATGATATAAAAAACTATTGTCAAACTTGCTTCAGCAGCTTCATATTATTCTTTGTTAAGAGTTTACGGCACTCAGTAGATGTGATATTTTGAAGTAATCCAGACACAGGTTATAATGCTACAGCTAATTCGACTTTTATTCTTGTCTAGGGCTAACTCTGTGAAATGTGGGAATCACTTTCTTTTCCTGAGCTGCTGTGTGCTAGCTGCTGCTCTAGCCTCATCTGCACACAACACTTGTACACAGCAGGTACGTTCACTGTGATTTTGGCCATGTAGACATGTAAACAGAGCAGTCTCCAGCAAAGCACAGCTCGTCCACTCCGCACACTGCCTCCTGGACAGTCCGAAGTTTAGACAGCCTCAAGCGGACTCTCTTCTGCTGTTAGCACTTAGCTTAACTTAGCTAGTTAGCTACAAACAACGTTAGCAACAACATCTCCTGGGAAACCCAGAGGTCTTTAAAGCCGTCGTAAGCGCCTCGGTCCCTACCTTGGCTGTTGCGTTTCACACTGTGTTGGAGAGACGGACCGTGGTCCAAACGCCCAGGGAAAGCAGATCGATAATGTAAAATTTGGCCTCTCTCTCATTGGTCTTCTGACAGGTCAGCCATGTTCTGTCTGCAGACAGTCACCTGACTGCGGTCGCTTAGCAACGCAGTGAAAGTGGAGCGGCCGCGAGCTGAGCCAACTACTGCGCAAGCGCAGCCTGGAGCAGAGAACGGGGGCCCATGAGGCCAGTGCTTTAGATCAGCTCTAAAGTGTGTGTAAATTGTGTAGTGATGCGACTTGCCCGATATTTTACACTCATAACACGCACTCTGGTCATGTGAATGGTCTGTCCTAATGCAAGCTTACAATATCTAGGGCAAAAGTTGCTTCTGAGTGCCAATGACAGATAAAAATACTAGTAAAGGGAGTGTGTGGAGTAAACTTTTGTGCAATATTTTTTGGTCGACTATTACTGTGTAAATGTCTGCTTATGGCTGAAGAACTGAAGACATTCTACTCCATACTTTAAACAAGCCCAGTAAGCAGAATGGCAAAGCAGTAAACTAATAACAGGTCATGGGCCCTAAAAATGGACAACTAAAACTGTTTCTTCTAAGATCATCTTTATATTAGTACAAAGACAAGTAAAAATCCTCCAGCTAAAGTGGTCCTGACCAAGCCTAGCAACAAGATGGAGATGGGTCCCCGGCACCCCATGTGCTCCCTACTGCTCCAGAAGGATGGGTCAAATGCAGAGGACAATTTCCCTACGGGGACAATAAATACTAAAAACTAAACAAACAAAAACATATTAAACCAGCCAGAAAGCCTCCTCTCTGGACAAAAGCCTATGTAAGGAAAGTGATTGTATGAATAAAGTAAATCTTTCAAAAGAAAACTTTAATTCGTTTTTGAACTCTTATAAAACACTTGGTACAAAACTGTAGAAAAATATTTTTGAAAAACACAACAAACCAACGTATAAAATATGCAAACATATGGAATAAGTTACTTAAACAATAATTATCAAAAGTATTAATCATTAAATTGCAATAATAAAAAAATTGCACTGAAATAATTCAAAGTCCACTTGCTGAGGTACACATTAATTACGAATGAAATATATCAGGAATAGTCCAATATGGATTTTGGTATCGATATTAAACAGTAACCAACAACGGACAAACTGGGACTGACACAACTTGGGCAGTGCAGAACAAATATTGGCACAATCAGAATAATATGCCATCTCTAAAACATATACATATACATACATATCTATGGATGAAACTTGGAACAAGAGAATCTTTTTTGATCACACAGTAGTCTTTGAACATTTTTTCTTTAATCTGTTGCAGCACATAATAAAAGGTGTAGTGCAAATAGAAGTCAGTAGAAGTCCCTGAAGTGTCTGCGTGTTGTTTGGAGTTAGCTGGTTTGGAGCAGGGTGGGCAACGCGGTATCTGGTCTCTTCACGTGTCCAAACTCAAAGGCCGGGGAAAGGGACTGCTCCGGGGACAGTCCTGAGGTATGTTCTGTCTCTGTGTCCATGTCCTCACACAGATCATCCTCCTCTTGTGTATGATCATCTCCCCCTTCAGTGTCCAGTTCAAAAGTGCTATGGGCTTTCACCTCTTCCGTGACGTTCCCTTCTTCACTATCTTTTGGTACAATCTATACAAAAAAATATTTACAAAAACAAGCATTTCAAAAATTAGCACTTTTTTTTTTTTTACAATTAATTATGAATACACCAAAATATAAATTTGTTTTATTTTGTGTCTGTAGTGCAGAAAATACAGTAGGCCCTTTAAAGAATAAACATGTTTTAAAGCAAGGCGCATCAAGACAATTTATCTCATTTCATTTGTACCTGGTTAGCTTCTCCATCTTGACAGTCCAATCCTTCATCTTGTTTTCCCGTCTCCACCGTCACCTCATCCGAAACGCAATCCTTTTCTGTGACTTCCTGACTCGACTCTATTTCTTCGATATCTTGGCTTCCCCCAGAGTCTAGCTGCAATGGCTGCCAGTAGTCGTACAGTTTGCCCTAAAGGAAAAGAAAAAGAATGAGTTGCGCTTTTCTGTAAATAAAAAATACAAATAAATTAGCTGCTGTACATTTAGAGGTCTTGTTTTCTGAAGAAGCATCTGCCATTTTGTGTATATCCTGGCCACTAGGTCCTTCACCTGAAAAAGAGATTTACAGTTTAAACAGACTGGCAACGTAATGTTTCTGGGTCAGCAAATTCAGTTAGTAACAATCAAATTTAAAATAATTATGGATCAAGAGGTACAGAGAAGTTACTTTGAGGGATGTAGTGGAATGAAATGGTGGGGGGACTTTTTAATTTTATTGTCTATGTAGCCATATTTATTGGCTTAAAATAATAATAATAATAAATCACAAGTACTGTTTTTTTGTTGTAGAGTTGTTAAGTATGATGTCACTTCTGAGTCCAAGGTGCATAAATGACTGAAAATATTTGATACGTTTACAACTTCCTCAACACAACTCACCTCACCGCTCGTGTAAAAAAGGGATTGCAGTAGTTTACAGCAGCACGCCCAAACTTTCTCGTAAAGAACAGTAATAAACATACAGTTTTTTTTAGCTACTGGTGGAGGCGGGGCCAGTAATAACAGCACAAAATGCTTGTCATATTTGCGGTTTAGGTCAATTTGCAGAATATTTTTAGAGTCAGTACGGTGGTAGACTAAAATATATATGATAAAGATATAGAACATTTTTCTCTGGGGCCCTGTACCAGATGGTTTGGGCATGGAACTGGTGGTTGGGGACCCCTGGTTTAGAGATAATAAGGTTGTACGTGTGACAGAAAGTGTACGAGGTTGAGATGCACTTTTGAACATTAATGTCAAATATAATACAAATAACTTCAACTGTTTCTGTAACCTTGTGTAAACTATGAGATTCATGAAGTAGTGAATAAGAGTTGTCCTCACCTTACTGCGGTACAGCCACTTCTCACTCTCCCTGATGTGACATTTGACGTGGCGTTCCAGCTCAGAGCACAGCAACAGCAGATGCTCCTACGCCAACAAACACACACAAACAGATTTATTAACAAGACATGATCACCTCAAATGAATCAAGTCTGTCTGAGAGCTGACAAACCTTCTGTTGAGGGGGGAAGTACTGCATGTTGGTGGCTTCATTAGTCAAAGTCAATAGGCTGTAGCAGAGGTAGTATGCCTGAAAGAAAAAGAAGCAATTGACACAGAATACAGAGATGACAGCAGCTTTGTTTATTTGTAAAGCACGATTTTGTATACTTGGATGGTTAATGGCAATCAAATATTTATCTGTCAAATATTGAAATAGCCTAAACACACCTATATGTTTTCAACCTATTGTCATTGATGTAATCAGACTGAAAAGAAAAGTTATTTCATACTTCATTTGCATTATTAATTATTTATTATTACATGTTTAAAGGGCCCATATTAAGCAATTTTTTGATCTATGTTATAATGCTGTTTCCTCATCAAAAACATACCTGGAGTTATGTTTATTTCATTCACATGTTTAACACAAAAACCCTGCATATTTAGGCTGAGTTCTTCTCTCAAACAGGTAATACAGGAAGAATCATTTGGATGATTTTTATCCCTGGATTTTTCAATCTGTATTGAACTAAAAAGGTAAAAAGTGGTCGTTAACTTGAAAACTACCACTACATGACATCACAAGGTAGAACAGAGCATTTTGATATTTGGAGATGTAGACAGGATTGCTCAAACATGTGTGAATGAAACAAAACACAACTCCAGGTATGTTTTTAAGCATTATAACATGGCTTAAAGCTCACAAGAATCCATTTTGTGCAATGTAGTACCTTTAAGGTAGGATAGTCAACACAGTGAGAGTTACTTCAAAATAATACTTGAATCTAAAGTTTATTCAAGCAAATGTAGCTGTAAATGCAACTTCTAACTTTCCACCGACATTTAATAATAGGGTCTGAAAAGCGCCTAGAGTGGGGACAGACCTGCTGATCGAGAAAATCCTGGTCCTCCTCTGTGTACTTGCGGTCAGACGAGCTGATGATGGTGCGCAGCAGAGAGGAAGGCTTCATTCTCTGCACATACAGCCTCAGGTCACTCAACTATAGGGGACAAGAAGAACAATAACAACGCGTTTTAGAGATCAAATATGCACTATGTAACTTTTTACATAGGCGGAGCAATGACATATGCATTAACATCAAACAGCTCTATCTTACATCTATCTTACATTTACTCAGAAACAGGTGGTTTTATAGCTCAAGAATAACTAGAAAAACAGGCATTCTGACTGAGCAGGGTTGCCTCTCCACAGGTCTGACCTGTAACTTGGTCTGGTTTGGTCTCCATGAAAATAGGAAGCTTAAAGCTATACTGTGAAACATTCCAGACAAAGCAGTAACATTTCCATGGAGAAAAGCATTTAACTGACCCTCCACCAGCGAAGTTACACAATGCACATTTAAAACTTGTCTGTCAGAGAGTAAGCAGAGGTCAGGGCATTACCTGCATCTCTTTGGATTTAGGTCTGTACAAACAACTGCCATCCAACAGTTTAGAAATCATAGACAGGCTCAGATGACGTCGGAGAGTCCTAAACAAGAAAAGAAAAATGTTATGAAAAATAACTATAAATGTAATCTGTATTTAGAAAAACTGAAAATGTGACAGGTCATACTTTTTCATATTTATCAAGAACATGTTTTTGAACAAATGCAAAGTGTGTAGAAGGCTCTTACTTTCCGCGAGTGTGATCAGGCAGCAGTTGAACCAGATGACACATGTTGTGGTGGTCGTCTGTGAGGTCCGTCAGAGCCAGGCAGATTTTAGGCATCTGGAAGAATTTAAATGCAACAGATTAAAGGTCTTATATTATGTACAATTGACTCTTGTGAGTTTTAAGCCATGTTAGAAAGCTGTTGTCTCCTCAAAAACATACCTGGAGTTGTGTTTTGTCATTCACACATGTTTGATTATTAGTCTGTCACATCCCCAAAGCTCAAAATACTCTATTCGACCTTGTGATGTCATGTAGTGGTAGTTTTTTAAGTTAAGTGTATGGAGTTTAAAAACACAGCGGAGCCCTCTCACATGACATCACAAGGTGGAACAGAGTGTTTTCAGTTTGAAAGAAGAACTCAGCCTAAATATGCAGAGTTTGTGTATTAAACATGTGTGAATGAAACAGCACAACTCCAGGTATGTGTTTGATTATTAACATAGATTAGAAAATAGGGAAATATGGACCCTCTAATAGAAAATGAAGAAAAAGTTTTTTTCTCAAACCAAGGTGTGGTTCACAGCATAATGTATGCATGCTAACACGTCCATTTATAGCAGAGGTCACCAAACTTTTTTCTCTAGGGCCATATTATCGCTCCTGACTGTGATGAGGGCCGGGGTCGGGTCGGCCGTGTAACAGAATTGTATGACCTTGACAATACAGATTATATTCTTTGAAAACTGTCACACTTTCTTTACATATCAGACAAACTGCACGCTCCTTGCACTGAACAAAAAAATATTTGGTCGTCTACTGTTCTTTGAAAACTCGACACACTGTCAACTTTTCATACTTTCACACTTGCCATTTTGCTGTCCTTAACCGCACTATAGTACTCTGTGCGTGCGCTGACTGTCACTGAGCTTATCAGGTGATGAAAATTCGGTGGCAAATGTAATATGTCATAGAATTATTTAAATATAAATACTTCATATAAATATAATTTTTTAATTGAAAAAAATCAACAAAATACAAGATGCAGACATATTATTTGCAAAAAACCATAATTTAAAAAAATAGGCCATGACAACTTTTGAGGATTGCCTCATAGTGCCAGTTCAAGTTGTAGAGGGCTGAGGGGTGGGGGCTGATCAAAGGGGCATGGAGGGCTGGGTTGGCCCACGGGCCTTAGTTTGATGATCCCTGATTTATAGGATTACTGTTTAAGAGATGTTTGTAGAGGTCTAAACTACAGTGTAAACATGTTTTATAAGACTGAGAGACAGGAGATTTTGTAGATAGAACTAGACTCCCTGATATTGAGCTCAACTGTGACCACTCACTTCGTTCTGGAAGTGAATTTCTCATTCATAGTGTTAAATTATTCAAAATTAAAAGTCTGAAATTACGCTGTGGGCTAATCATCTATGTGGTCAGTGTAATGGCCAGAACACCTATAATTTTATGCCAATCTGTTTCTGAAATTGATTAGATTGCTAAGTTATTAAGTTAATTAGTAACATTTAACAGAATTTAGTTTAAAGAGTTTTTGGATTGGACATGCATTAGTTACCACGTAGCTGGTTGGAATGTTGAGCTCCATATAAGGTTGTGCATTTCATTTTAATAATCAGCTTTTGATTTTAAGAGAGGTGGTATTATACTTACTATACTATGTGGTATTAACTGCTAACATATATTTACATGACTTGGTTACCTTTTGTTGTTTTGAAAATGCTGTATTCGTTGCACACAAAGAACATGCCACTTCCGCTTTTGAGCGTCATCACAACAAAATCAGATAAAGAAAATACTGCACACTGCAACAGGTTTGTCAAGTTGTTGTATAGTTTTGTACATTCATGAAGAACTGTCGTGTGGTGGGTGAAGCATTGCACAAAATCTTACAGCTAACCTTAAGGAGGGTTCGAATAGTGCCTTGAGGACACTGCTAAAATAGTAAAACAAGCAAGGATGATAAATAAAAGATGGTGTGTTTTTGATGTGAGAACAACATATATAACATGATAGAAAGCTTAAAGGTGCATTGCATTGCTCAGAGCATCTACATTTGCATTATCTTTAACAAAAGTCCAAGCCTGTGTTACCATGTCTTCCCAGTGGCGGATGTTGTTGAGGAGCTTGTAGAGGAGGGGGTAGAGCTCCACACCGGCCTGTAGGAGGAGCCGTGTCTCCAGACTGACTGTACACATTGATGTCAGCAGCAAAAAAAGCTCACTGTCCGAGTAGAACCGTGGACACAGGCCCAGGCAGCATGACAGGTACTGAACACAAAACACACACACGGGAGAGTTTCAAATGATTTTAACAGGGACTGAACTATTGACACTTTGACCCTGGTGTCATCAACATCCCCTGGGGGTGTGTTGCTAATTGAAGGCACCACTCTGTTAGAAGCTGTTCCTCAAGTTAAACTTTAATCTGAGCTTCATTTGAACACAATCTGACCTCAAAGAACTGATTCGGATGGAACTACAACAGGTGAGATGATCTGGGCTGTTAAACAAGCCTCTCACACATAACTCTCATGGACTATTTGTCTGGCTGCTCCTAAATTCATCCAGAGTGGCATGGAGAGGCATTAAGTCAATGGCATCAGTGCACCATCCCTTCTGTGAAACAAGACAAAATGTCAGTGTTAAAGGTGTAGACAATGACTATTTGCCAAATGTGTTTAATTTCTTCTTTGCCCTCTTTGAGAGGTCATATTTTGGAGATGAAATTGACAAAACCTGAACATCCCTTGATCCAAATAATGATTTGTTGGTCTCTCAAGAAAGCTTTACCAAGTTGCTTAAAAAGATAAACACAAGTAAAGCTGCTGGTCCAGATGGTATTAGTGGATGCACTGTCAGGTATTGTGCTCATCAGCTTAGTGGTGTTTACTACACTTTGAGATGTCTGCAAATTCTGAGCAAATACCAACAATCCCACTGTTATATCTGTTACCAATTCAAATAATTCAAAGGAACTAAGTGAATTACCTTAGTAATGAAGATCTTTCAGAAAACACTAAAAGAGAATATCCTCTCTTTAACTGATAACAAACTAGATCCTTTGTTATTTGCTTATCAAGCAGGGAGGGTGTAAATGATGCAAAAATATTTCTTTTGGACACTATTTATAAACACCTTGAAAAGCCCAGCTCAAATGCGCAGATGCAGCCAGATATTTCAATTGACAGACTAGCCTCTGTTAAATTTAAACTTTTTAACTGACCGCATACAGAGAGTTCTGGTGAATGACCAAATGTCCAACCCAATTGTTTCAAACACTGGATTACCTCAGAGTTGTGTTTGTCTCCGCTGCTTTATATCTTGTATACAAATAACTGTAGGTCTGTGAATGAGGGGAGTAACACTATAAAATTTTCAGATGATGCTACCCTATTATTTCTCCTGCAAGAAGCAAACTCAGACCAGGGTCAGGCTCTACCTGCTTTCATTGAATGATATGACAATAACCAACTACACTTAAACGTGGCTAAGACCAAAAAAACTGTTGTGGACTTTCAGAAAAAAAAAAGTCACAGCAGAAAAAGCGAGCTTCATCCATGGAGAAGCAGTGGAAATGGTGGACGCCTACACCTACTTGGGGACTGTGTTTGATTCTTCTCTAAGGTTTGATAAAGAACACTGCGCAAATTGTCAAACAAGGACAGCAACAGGTTCACTTGATGCGGAAGATTAACTCTTTTAATGAGTCATCCAACATTTTAAATCATTTCTCTCATTCCTTTATCGAGAGTTTGTTGACATTTTCTTATATTAGTTGGTTGTATGGGTTATCTGTGAAAGATAAGAACAGTTTGAATCATATAATGAAAGGGTGTGGCAGATAAAGGGTGCTCCAAAAGACTAAAGCCATACTGAGCCAGCCTAATCATGTTCTGCGTAAGCAGTTTGTGCAAATGCCCTCTGGGAAGCACTATGTCACCCCACAACAAAAGACCAACCTCTACCCTAAATCTTTTAATCCTTCTGCCATAAAACTTCTAAATGAAAAGTAAATTTGCTAATGTGTCCTGATGCACTCATGTTTAAATGTATGATGTGTTTGTATTTTGTATTGTATTGTATTTTCTTGAGTTTTCAAACAATCTTAAAACTTTTTTGTCTGTTTGCTAATGTGTGCATTCTGTCACCTTGGTAACTGCTGAACATAATGCCAACAGAGATCCATGCAGAACACCCTCTGTCTGATTTCACTGCAAAGTATCAGTAAGCATTATGTAGTGTTCACCTTAAACATGTTGTTACAGTTGTGTTCAGGGAAAGTGCTTGGTGGTGTGGTAGAAGGACTCTCACTCTTAATGTAAATGTCTTCACTGAAATAAAAAAAAGAAAACATCCGGGTTACATATAGCCACATAATGTACGTTTTTATTTAGAGCAAAAAATAAGGCTGAGAAACAATTGATGAAACAATGATATTCGGATAAGCTGGAGAGTTTACGCAAAGCCCCGCTAAGTAACTTTTTAGCAAAAAATAGAAGAATGGAATAGAATAATGAAGAATGGATTGCATTACGATGGAAGTAGGACTTTAACTTTCTATTTTAATTGAATTATGCAGCTTGCATGTCACCTCAAGAAAGTTACACATTTATAGTTGTTCTAAACGGTCATTTTTCACAAAGATATGCACCAGCAAGTCCCTGCTTACAGTAGACTGCTGCCCCTGCTACCTGGCCCTGGATAAGCAGGAGAAAATGGATGGATGGAGGTTTGCTTTAAAACTTGTTGAAATTGCTGGAATATCAGTCTTTTCAAGTCATTTTTAAACAATTCTCTTGCATATAAAACTGTTGCATTTGTTGACTCCCATCTTATAAACCTATACTTACAGTAGACGTCCCTCAGTGAAAGGCGGCTGCAGAGTCTCCAGAGGGAACAGAGACACAAAGGAGACCCCCATGTTCATGAGCACCAGGGTGATGTCTGCTACAGAGGGCACCCACACTCGGAACCTGTCACTGCCATTGACTGCACACACACATACACACAAATCCAGATTACGGAGGCCTATTTATATGAATGGGTGATGCAGAGTTGCTGTTTGACACATTCATCTGACAATTTGCATCATCTTCAGCGAGCCAAGTCTCCTCCTGCCTCTGTCTGCGCAGGTGAGTCTGCTTTTGTCTGCATGTCGATCAAAAAGCTTTTTCTACTGTTACCAGTGCATACAGTCCTCACAGTGTATTTAGCCAGTGAGCGTGTACTTGTGTATTGACTGGGCTCTGTCCAGACCCCAAATATAAAACGATAAGCAGATAGTGAAATAGAAGTTTCCCTGTCCTTACCAGTGAAACTAAACACTTTTGACTCACCTATTTTAGTAGTAGCGGAGTATGCAATATCAGTGAGGACCTGTAGTATGTCCACTGACAACATATGGTCACTGTGAACACACATCATCTGAGAAAAAAGGAAAATAAATAGAAGCATTAGTATGTGTAGTAGTATTAGTTAGTGCTGTCATGCGATTAAAAAAATTGAGAGATTAATTAATTATGATCTGTAATTAATTAATCTAATTAATCTCATTTTAATCTCACCTAAAAATTGCTGCGAAAAGCCTTCAATTTGAGGTATTTTCATTTAAATTCATTATTACATTATTGTGGCAGATCAAAAGACTCATATAGATTAAAAAAAGTGACTTTATAAAGTCATTTATTGTTTAACAAATCTCTCCAAATTGGCTGTTGAGCCCAAGTATCCATGAATAAGAAACTGTTTGCTGTAAAGTAGCAAAGACGAGGAAATCTGAACATAATAACTTTTGTCTACTTAAAGACAATAAAAAGTCCAGTCTTTCCTTAACCATATTGAAAATATTATTAATAGAGAAATGCTTTATATATGAGATCACTGGTTTTAGTCCTTGTTTTAGTCCTGGTTTAGACCTGCTTTAGTCCTAGTTTAGTCCTGGAATGGATTTATCCAGTTTTAGTCCTGGTGTTAGTTCTGGTTTAGTCCTGGTTTAGACCTGGTTTTAGTTCTGGTTTTAGTCCTGGTTTAGTCCTGGTTTAGACCTGGTTTAGATCTGGTTTAGACCTGGTTTAGACCTGGTTTTAGTTCTGGTTTTAGTTCTGGTTTAGTCCTGGTTTAGTCCTGGACTGGATTAGTCCTGGATTTAGTCTTGGTGTTAGTTCTGGTTTAGAGGCGCACAGGAGGAAGCGCGGTTTACGCAGCGTACGCGAGAAAACACGGTCCACACGCGGCTCACGGGAGCACGTCGGTGTCCGCGCAGTAACTACGGAAGGAAACGTGGTCCGCGCGTTCTCAGGTTAATGACGATGATGAAGGTGTGTGTTTGTGTGTTTGTGTGCGTGTCCCCTCATGTGGCAGGTCTCTATAGGACAGTAGTGCAGACATCATGAGCCTATGCAGGTTGTTTTCACCAGTGACATTTAAGTTGTAGGCGATATTATATTTGTTATTTTCTTTTATATTTCATGTCGGGAGAATAATTTCCAAGACATGAATGCGTTTTTACCTGTGCACTGCTGACTCTGTTCTACTGGCTCTTCGACCTTGTCCATTGTGCGACTGACGCCGCAAACGTTAACATGACGTTTACGTCGCTCTTACTGCGTGCGTTTTGTGCGGGTTTCCGGCAATGAGTGGAATTACCGAAATAAAAAAATGTATAAATGTGTTTTTTGTGTGTGTGTGTGTATTGTTGTTGTCCCAACAACACATAAAAACAGGTTTTATAATAAAGCAACTCACATACAGAAACACTAAAGTTAGAGATTAAAAATGAGATTAACGCGATTAAAAAACATAACGCGCTAAATATGACTGTAATTAATTAATCGCAATTAACGCGATAATTTGACACCCCTAGTATTAGTATTAGTGTTGATGTTATGATGTGAGAGGAGCACCTTGAAGAGAAAGCGTGTGATCTGAAAGGGGCAGGGCAAGCGCTGGAAAGCCTCTTGGAACAGACCGATGTGAATGTACAGCTTGAACTGAGAGGGACTAGACCTAAACAAAGACACAATATAACAGTTAAGCATCAGACCATGACAAGTCTACAATTCAAATGAGACCTGGGACCTAATCTTCCCAGTTCACTCTTGTGCACGCTGTTGCTATGTGAGCCTACGGACCTGACTGTTTTAACATAGAAATATAATATATATAACATGGCATATTCTATTAAAGGCAGTGTGAGCATTGCACAGAATCTTGCAGCTAAGTGCAAGGAGGGTTGGAATAATACTGGGAGAGATTGCTAAATTGATGTAAATACAGACCATAGGAGGGTCTTCTCTGCCGTTTCCTGTGGGTTGAGCTTGCACTGGCGGAGTTCCAGTGTGTTCTGGTTGAAGATACGACCAAACTTCTCCAGATGAAAAAGCTCGTGTCCAGGAGGAACTTCTCTGATGGCACTGGAGAACAGGGAATACCTCTGCACGATCTGCCTGTTAAGCAATGGACAAGGATGAGAGTAGAACAAAAATATCAGATATGTACATTTTTGTTGTCAAATCAAAACCACAGACTGTATAAAGTGCACTAAGGTAGTGTAATGTCATCCATAGCGTTTGGCTCCAGTGAAATGAAACTCATGAGGCTAGCAGTTACGGGGTGAATTTGGAGCCGCATTCCATATTAAGAATAGGAATTTATTTATGAACAAAATACTGAAATAAAAACACTAGGATCATGTAGAGTGGGTTAATAAGAACAGTTTAAGACAAAAATGACAAGGCAGAGAGAAGGGTGACCATTTTTCAATACAAAGTGAATTGAAAACAGAATTGATGAAGCCAGAAGCGTGCTCATGCTCACTACCATTATACACTGTATAATTTAAACCCATCTAGTAGCATTAAAGGAGCACTATGCAACTTTTCTCGTGGACGGTTTGAACTGTCAGTTGCTCGTCTCCATGGAGATGTTATTGACAAAAGAGAGACAAAAAGAGGGCACCACCAGGCCAAGTTACAGGTCAGATGTGTGGAGAGGTAACCAGGGTTTTTTGCAGTATTTTTGAGGCAAGTTAAATATAACATCTCCATGGAGACAAGCATGTACGGAACCCCCACCCCGCCCCTACAAAAAATCTCATGCATTTCAGAACATGTTTGTCTAGACTGCAGGGTTAGCAGGTTTTACACACACATTGCTTAAAGGCCCTGAACCTGACACATTTGAGAATAATGTGTCTTGCCGCCGTACATATATTTTGTATAAGCAGCTCTTGAGGTCAAAATGTGTGTCTTATTGATGGATAATCAGGAAGTGTGTGTGTGTGTGTTTCTCTGGTGTGTGAAGGTTGTGAAAAGCACTTACAAACTCACACTCATGAATGAGGTATAACAACTTCAGACTTTGCACACAGTTTAAGACAATTCAGATGTTCACCTCGAGACTCAAGTTCTAGTTGTCATAACCATCTGTAAATATTGTATTGTATAGTATAGTATAGTGTGTGTGTGTGTGTGTGAGTGAATGTGGGAATGTCAGTGTCGAGTTAATCTGTTCTTACTGGTGCTCGAGGGACAGGGGCTCCTCTTCGTCCGCCTCCTCAAACTCTGCGATCCTCATCAGATCTTCCTGACAGGCTGTGAGGAGCTCCATCTCTGTTCCTTTTGCTCTGAGGTAAAGTTTTAAAAATGCATAAGACATAAAACTGTGGTTCAAACCGAAAATATGATGACAGGTCTCCAAAGTCTCCAACACTGACTTCGTTCTAGTGGTGATCTCCTTGAGCATCTGGTCCAGGCTGTTCTTGTAGTTGCCCGTCTTGGTGGTGGATAGTGTGTGGTGCTAATGACATGTGAAAAGAACATAACACATTTATGCATTACTAGAGGTAGGTGCAAATAAGGATTACATAAAATGTTTCTGTTTTTTTTTTTAATTTAATGAATACCAGTGTTTCCCATAGATTCCCGAGACTATGGTGGTACGAATAATTTACATTTTAATCCTTTCACTTCATACGATTTGTGGAGAATAAATGATGTTTATCACCTATAATTAATCTTTAAACAGTCCTTTTTGCTCAGCATACTCAATACTTTTGAGTGTTTATGATAAGACAATGGGCGACGAATTATTTGCTAGTGTATAGTGCAGGTTGTTTTTAGGCTATGCCGGGGAATTTTAGACTATGGGGGGCCACCATAGTTTCCCATAGAGCCTGACCGATATATCGGTTGGCCAATATTATCGGCCGATATGGGCACCTGGGAGCACATCGGCTATCGGCCGATATTTCACGTGGGCATGTGATACGTCGTTAAAAATCTTAGACTCTCTCCATTATGTTCATTTAATCCAATTTACAGACAGATAAATGTCCTAATATGTGGCTCCGCATCAGTATTTATCTGCGGTGTCATTTGTCTGTGTGTGTCCGTACTGTGCCTGAACACACCACAGAGTCGCGTCACTCACGTGTGTTTGTTTACACCCGCAGCGGTGTGCAACACTGAGATTATTTTCTTTTTACGGACAATCGGTTTGAGTCTAAATTAAAAAGACATTTATTAGTGCAGACTTGTGTTGTGAGAGGAGCCTGTATGAGCGGTGAGTGTTGGAAATATGTCGACTTTGAAGCTAGTTTTAGTCATTCGTTACGGGTTAGCTGCTATAGCTCCCGCACATAAACAGGCTGTTTTCTATTGGTCTATTGTAAAGTGACTATATTGGCCGTATATTTGTTACTGGACCTGCACTGATATGTAAATGAGCTGTGAATAGACGTGTGAATTATGACATTTGCGCATATAATTAAAGGTTGTATAGAGGATTTTCCAAGGAATGAGAAATCCAGCGACTGTTTGTCCTTTTTCAAATGTTGCGCATGCGTGAAACCACCCCCCTCCCCTACAGCTCCCTACGTAGAAACGCCTCCTCCCGCCTCCTCACTACACCAGAAACAGGTTTGTTTACAGCCGGTGCGCTGCACATGACTTGTAAACAACTAACTACAGTGTTGGTTAGGCAAGACGGAGAAGTGAGGAGCGGGGGGAGCGGGTGCGCGGACATTTCGTTCGCGGACGAGAAGTGAGAAGTGAGGAGCAGGGAGAAGAGCGGAGCGGGGAGAGAGGAGAGGGGAGCGGGAGAGGGTGCGGTGCGGAGATTCCGTGCCTGGAGAAGTGAGGAGCAGGGGGAAGAGCGGAACGGGCAGCGGGGACAGGAGCAGGAAAGGGGTGCAGAGAAGAGTGCGCGGAGATTCAGTGCGAATGAACTAGCTACAACACGCAGCAGCAAGCGGACTCTTTCTTTGCCTTGAAAATTACGTTTTCAGACATAGGATATCGCTTTCGTGTCCTGAAAAACGTTTGTCTAGCTCTTGGAAATAAAGTACGTTTTCATAATAAGCAGAAGTTTCCGGTCCAGGAGTAATTTGGCGACCAGTGCGTCAGTCTTTAGACTCTGCGTCTGCTTCAGTTGCGCCATCGCTGGAATGAATCTACAAGAATCACCTTAGTTTGGCTTCGCTGCTTTTCCCCTTGTCTTCTTTCAGCAATCTCAAAAACGGACTTTCTTTTGCGGCTAACTGCTCCTGGATTCTTGTCTGCCATTGCAACAAACTTTGTGCGAACTGCGAGGAAGATATAGGTCAAAAAAAGCCGATAAGAACTGTTGAGTTGGTGGAGTAAACAGCGTCTGTGCGTCTTGCTCTGTGGACTGCGTGACAGGCGTACATAAACCACGTAACGGCAGCGCGCAGGCAAGTCAGTTACTCTAGAAACGTAGGGAGATGATTGACAGCCTGTCAGCTAACAGATAACGAGGCAATGTCGTTATCTATTGGCAAATGTTTAGCTGGCCCCACCACGTCCAGAGTTGATGAATTTTTATTCTCTTTTTTTTGGTCATCATAATTACAAGGCTACTGCACCTCTATAATGCTATCATTGACAATTTGAAACAAAAAAAATCCTCCATACAACCTTTAATTACGGCGGCACGCACGTATTTACGGCTAAAGGCTAATAGCGCTACTTTCTTTACTAGTTATGGGTCGGTCGCGAACGAAATGGCTCTTATAGCCGGCTCTTTGAAGCGAATGACGGGAGCCTGATCCATATTGGGAGCCGTGTTTTCGCTTTCTCTCACTTTTTTTCTCTTCACGCTGTGTGCAGACTCGTGGGAGTTTGACAGCGGCAGCGGCTGAAAACGAAACTTTGACAAATTTGCGTGTACATAGGATAAAAAAAATAAAAAAAAACGAGCATATTTGGCTGTAGTTTAGCATAAAATAAATAAGTCCCAGTTTAGTCCTTTTTCAGTCCTGATTCAGTCCTGCTTTAGACGTGCTTTAGACCTGCTTGCAACAAAACAATCTGAAGAGTCGCTTGGGAGCCAAAAGAACCAGCAGCTTTTAGTGAACCGAGCCAAAAGAGCCGGTTCTCTAAAAAGAACTGGAATACCATCACTAGTGTCTAGAATGTGATGCAAAAATGCCATTAAGCCAACCTACTGTCTGTAAATATGATGTAAAGAGGCAGAATAACAATAAATGTTGCCTAAATAAACCCAATTTAAAATACACCAGAGCCAAACCTAAGTTTTTTAAACAATTCAACATTTACAGTGAATTTTTACATCACTAAATATATCGGCGATTATATCGGCTATCGGCAGCTCCAACTCCCATTATATCGGGTTAATATTGGCCACAGCAAAATCCATATAGGTCAGGCTCTAGTTTCCCCTGTTAATGGGAAACACTGGCATACATCATTAACGTATTTTTTGGACTATAAGTCACACTTTTTTCATGGTTTGGGTGGTCCTGCGACTTATACTCCGGTGTGACTTGTATATTAAAATTTTCAGACTGACAGCCGCAAGAGAGCGCTCTAGGCACGTGTGTCAGTATCTGCTACTCCTGTTACTCCTGTTACTCCTGTAGCACTGTACCTTCGCACTCTACTGCCCATGCCTCCTGTAGAAAAAGCCGCTGTCTCGCTGCAAATAGTGAAATATTCAGCCGAAAACTGTAATCGAGCAGCAGAAAGAATGTCTGGAGTGAGCGAGAAATTTGTGATTGACTGGCGGAACGCAGGAATGGAGAGCACAGCTTCACGGCAACCGGGCGGTTGCGCCATGTAACTTTCCTAGAAGTCATTGGATGAATCGACAAAGCCTGAACTTCAATGACACACTGAAACCATCCTGTCAGGATTCAGAAAGGCTGGAATAATTCTAACTGGAACTGATGCAGAGTCTATCAGCTACACAGAAGAGGAAGCGGCATGCTGTTTACCTTATGGATCTATGGTTTATCTCTGGAGGTCGCGCAGAAGTGACACCGAGGATGAAGAATTCAAAGGATTTAGTGATTTGGAGTCAGATCGTGAGTTTGGTAAACTTATGTGATGATGTTTATGCAATAATTATCTGAATAACTGTGAATATGTTACGTTAACATAACAGTTAACATATTCTGTTGTTATTACTATAACTTGCCTTTCAAGATGAAATGTCAGTTCCTGGTCCTGGTTTTCCCCAAAAAGTGTGACTTATAGTCCGGTGCGACTCACGTATGTTTTTTTCTTCTTGCGCATTTTTCGGCTGGTGCAACTTACACTCTGAAGTATATACGGTACTCAGAGATATTCTTTAATTGGCAGGTTAGGAACTAAGAGCCAAAACTTGCCTTGAAAAAGTTGTACTGATAAGGAAAAGGATCCAAGGCACAGTGACCAATTATATAAAAGTCCTTTAATACAAAATGGGATGCCTACGAGTTTCAACCAGATAGGTTTTCTTTAGGGCATAGTCAATTGGTCAGCATGCCCTGAAGCCTTCCGTTTATCGGTATAACTTTTTAAGGCAAGTTTTGGCTCTTTCTTAGCATATTCTATAATAAATGTTCAAAGTGAAAACAACAATGATACAGAAGAGAACACCATAAATGTAGTTTTCTCTGCATAGTCTGGTGTTTTTTTCTATGCAGAATAAGACAGGATATTTTATTGTCTGTGGAAGAAATGGTAGTATAAATATCACAAATTGAAGCAATCATAATTTTGGTTCAGTTGTTAATTAATCTTGCAGCCCTAATTATCATATTTTCTTTTAATCAAATTTAGCAATATTAATGTCCCATCCCCATTTAAAGCGTTTTAAAACCAAAAACCAAAACATCACTCACCAGTCTCTTGTGGTTGGTGTGGCCGGATGTGCTGGGCTCAGAGAAGGCCCCTTTCTCCGGTGTGTCAGGGGGCTTCCTCTTCTTCATTATTTCCTGTAGTGACACCAGTGGCTCCTCCTCACTGTCACTGCTTTGGGAGCTTTGATCGTCCAGGTGTAGATCCAGACTCAGATCCAAGTCCAGGTCTACAGAATCATCATGGGTCACCTTCTTCTGCCTCTCCTCCGTTTGTTTAACCGTCCCAGAGGTATTAGTATCTTTCTCAGTTTTAACAGGAACAATCACACGTGTCAAGCTGACTGTTGGCAATAAGATCTGGACACCATCTGGTATTATAAGACTACTATTTGACACTTTAAAAGAGGAACTGCTATGTGTTGATGTCTTCTCTTTATGCAACTTGGACACTGGAGTTTGTGCGTGGCTTGAAACTGACTGTTCATTTTTAACATTTACAATTTTAGCTTTGTCATCTGGCCTCGCTTTTAGATTAGATTTAATTTTCTGACCAGAACTGACAGTGTAAATTGGATCTGGCGTAAAAAGATCATTTAAATCGTCCAAAACTGGCTGCTGTTTTTTGGGCCGGCTGAATTTGCGACAAATTGGCGACCCTGTGCTTGCCTTCGCTGCTGCTTTGTTGCAATTCAAGTCCGCTATTTTGTTATCTCCCACCTGGATGACCTTGTGCAGGCTTTTGGGTTCATTTGGTGTACTACTACAAGAGGCATTGTGCTTGTTTGACAGAGCTGAAGCTGGACCATCCTTCTTCTTAAACTCTTCGTGCACCTGGGTTAGAATTCCACTTTTCCTTGATGCAGGTGTTAATACTATCACATTGTTGTTTGTGAATTGAATACAAGCTTGTGGAATGCAAGATTTGTCTGTGTGCGGTGGGGAGTGAGCAGCAGGCTTGAGTGGTTTTGCGTGTAGAGATTCGGTCTGTATGTGGGTTTCAGGTGTTTCAGGAGAGAGCTCAGAGTCCGGTAGTTTTGAGTGGGAGATGGGGACATGAGCAGAGAAGGGGAGGGTTTGGTTGTGCTGCACAGAGAGGAGACAGGGTTTCTTGGCATTGTCACCGTCAGTTCCGGATTCCCTGGGTCTTTTTTGCTGTGTGTCTCCTATGATGGAAGAGGAAGACCATTATCAATCAATGAATCAAGCTGTATTTAGGACTCCAGTGGGTCCATATCAAGGACGTAACAATAACCCAAATATCACGATAGAGCTGAACGATCTATTGTTTTGGACCGAAAATCACAATCTCAGACAACAAGCCGCGTTTTTTTTGCACTGCTCCTACCTGACCCAGGTTTTGTTTCGTCAACTATTTCACACATGTATGCATCATCATCAACATTCCTCTGTCACAGAAAGACCACCAATATTCCACTGAGTTATGTCCTTTAGTCCAACATCAGCGCACAAAAAGCATTTTTTTTGGTGCGCTGATGTTGGACTAAAGGAGTTTGCAAATTAACCATGCGGTTTTAAGTTTCATTTCTGTAAAATGTAATTAATGTGCGCAAAGCTGCATTAAACACATATTCTCAAACAGGCTGATGTGGCTCTATAAGGTTATGGTTTATATGTTGTAAAGATGAGTTTATTTATGCAGATTAGTAATAATAATATAATAATAATGATGATCATTTTAATATAAAACGTTAATGATTAATGGAAGACCTGGTTTAGACCTAGTGAAGCCCTGGTTCAGTCCTCCTGGGATCAGTCCTCCTGGGATCAGTCATTTTTTTAGTACTGGTTCAGCCCATATGCGGCCAAAAGTCTAGCATCTCAATCAGTGCTTCTTCTGCTCAATAGATAGTGAAGTGATGACGGATGAAGTGATGACAGATTTTTGACAGTAGTAGTCACGTGTTTCTGTGATGTTTGCAAATGTTCATGTGCAGTGAAACTTGCTTTAAAAAAAATCGTGAAATCGAAATCGCAATATCTGCCAGAAAAATCGCAATTAAATTTTTTTCTTAAAATTGTTCAGCCCTATATTACGATATCGTAATGTCAAAGTTCTCACAAAGATATCATGGGTTGTCACAATATATTGAATTATATTATATTATTTACAGCAGCTAAATGGAGATGGCATCATAGACTGTGATGTTTTGTTCCATTTTAATGCAGAACATGAAGAAATAAAAGTGTTATAAAGAACTTTTCTATCTTAATTCTTTGGATTATGAAACTAATATAGCCCCAAGTGTAGGCTTTTAAAAAGGAAAAAGTAAATTTTTTCTATTCTGTTAGTATCTCCACGATATCGCAATAAATACTGTATCGTGAAATGAATATCGTAATTGTATCATACTGTGTGATTTACATATTGGTACATCCCTGGTCAATATACAAAATTTATAAACGGACAGAAGACAAATACAACAGTAATAATGGCCTATATCATTATATCATTGCTCTACATGTAACTCTGTGGTGGAATACATACAACTCCCTGCAACTGTACAACAACTCACCATTATGTAACAGATAACCTTATGTCCTGTCAATCATGATCATATCTTTGAGCTGTTTCTCCTACAACCTCTTCTATATAGGTGAAATATATTTCTATTATTATATTTCTGCATTTTATTTTTACTTGTACATATTGGTAGTTTTCAGTTTTCCAGTTTTCCCTACTGATTAGACTGCATTTGCCATGACATTTTGGAAAGGTAAATTCCCAAATATAAAACCTGATCATTTCTATTAGTGACCAGACTCAAAACCACGCTATATTGCAACAAAAATATGCAGCTGAACAACATTAATTTCAGCTGCCACCTCAATTAAATAAATTGGTCTGTAGAATGTAGTGATGTCATCTGAAACCCAACAATACATTTATATTATTATGCCTTATTTGACACCAGTCTTTTGTTATTTTTGCTACTTATTTAGAATGTATTAATACCATTTATATTTTTTACTTTTTGTTATTATAATATATTGTGATGTGTGAGCTGCTGTGTGAAAATAATTTCCCTTGTGGATCAATAAAGTTTGTCTAAGTCTAATTGTTGGTGACACACTGCATACACTAACAACCACTGTCAAATAGATTTAAGAAAACCAAAGAAAAAAAAATTCAGCAACCACATTTTCAGGAACCTGTGATGTTCCTGTTTATGTGTTTGTGACTACCTCAAAAACTGTTGGTTAATGTTAGCGAGCGTGGGACTATATGTGCCTAATTTTATGTGAGATTGTTTTAAGTGCATATGACAAGTTTTTATGATTCTCTAATTTCTACTTAATTTGGGGGGATACTTGGTGTAAATAAAAATTTTAGTTTTACACAAATCAAGAAGCGTTTTGCAAAGAAAAGTTGAGCAATATGTTGAAAATTACAGGAAGTAGAGTTCTAAACACACTGATGACATCACACTGGAGAGCATTCTATCCAAAAGTTCGGCACAATTTACACACAAGAATCACTTTTTTCTGTTACTTTAAACATTATTTCAACAAAATTAAGGTATTTTCTTTTGTTTTTATTAATCAAACTATAATTTCCATGTACTTTAGAGCAGTTTTGGCCCAATGTATACTATGACTGATAGGTAACAACAATGGATTTCCCAAGTGTGATATCATGATATCATGATTTCCAACCAGTAAGTAAAGTTATAAAACCAAATTGGGGAAAAAAAAAAAGTAAAATCTTTAGTAAAATCTTAAATATAATAATCTTAATTGTGTTTTGATGAAATGTGTAGTCTAACCTGTCACAGAGCACAAATCATCTCACCTGTTACTGATCTACCTCAAATCAGTTTTTTAATGAACAGATTGTTCTAAAACAAAACACAGATTAAAGTCTAACTTGAGTAAAAGAGCTCCAGATACACACACACTGTATATAGTACAGGATACAACGTGCACAGATAGTCGATACGTACTTGTGAATGTGGACTATATGGAAACATTCACCTTGCTCTCATTTGTGAGGATGACATGCAGACAGTAGCCAAGACATGTCAAGGTAAATGCTTCTCACTAAGAAAGTTGTATGTCTTAAAAAAACATAATGACTTAATTATATGGAGCCTATACGTCAGTGTACTTAAAGCCCTATTCATAGGGAACTAGTTTTACATTTGTCTTTTGTGTACATTTGCAAGGGATAAGCAATGTCAGTAAACTACCTGTTTTTACATACTTTCTGGAAATGGTGAACTGATAAAGACAAGAAGCTTTTAATTCATCATGTTGTGCAAAGAAAATGTCCCCACGATAAATATTTATTGACCCAAAAAATATTGTTCCATCTAACATGTATTAAACTATGAGTCGATATACTTATTATCGGGACTTTTTATAGTCACACTTTCAGAAAATGAAGTGACATGGTCTGTCTGCAAGTGAATCCTATTAAAGTTTTACAACATGAATATAAATGAAAATAATAAATAAATGAATATATCTGCCACAGCCATGGCAGATATATTCATTTATAGAACTGATATTTAAATCAAGATATTTTGCAGATGATATCATCAAGATTTTTAAACACAATCTGACTAGAAAGATTTAGTTGAAATTACAACAAGTGAGCTGATTTGTGCTGTTAAAGAAGTCTCTAACACATAAAAATACAATAACAAGCTACATCTCAATGGGACCAAGAACACACACAGCTCCTGAAAACGTGTTGCTTGAATCTATTTTGTATTTTTGTATTTTTTTCTTGACTTTTCAGACGATCTTGAAAGATTTTTGACAGTGTTTGCTAATGTGTTCAAAGTTTCACTATGATAACTGCTGAACATTCTGTAATAGTCCTGAAAGAACATCACGTACTAGTGGGTAAACAGTTCCTACTTGTTTGCAGTGTATGTGAGGCGGTCTCTTCTTGATATCGCTCCTGGAGGGGAAATAAATAACTAGTATTAGTCATTAACCTTTTGTCTGTATAGTTAAAGACGCAATGTGTAACTTTCCTGGTGGAGGGTCCATCAAATGATTTTCTCATTGGAAATGCTACTGCTTTGTCCAGAATGTTTCACAGTATTGTATTAAAGGGATAGTTTGGATTTTTTGACATAAATCTGTATGGCATCCCCGTCATCAGTGTTGTGCATCCACACCGACAAAGTGTCCGGTGAGCCGAGATACTGGCCGGTTTTTGTGCTGAGGAAAGTAATTCGGCAAGTTGTGTGGGGACTGTATACTAAAGCGTTTTTCTTTTCAAAGCAATATGTGTTCAAAAGAGTGATACATTTGCATCACAAAACCATCGTCGCCAAAAAAGTCAAACCTCATAATCGCTTGGCGCTATTTTCTCTCCGTACGTACCACTGCGCCAGGTGATAGCCGCGCACGGATCCATCACTTTCTTCAGTTGTTCGGCAGTGTTTACATGCGCAGACCGCCGCCACGCGAGAGAGCTAACGAGAGAGCTAGAGCCATAAGTATATGAGCTTGTATAAGATACATATGAATATATCTAAAAAATGGTGCGAACTCTTGATTATCCAGGCTGTAACAACAAAAATCTGTCTGAATCTCCACGCACATTTCACTGTTTTAATGTCACGGACTTTGCGCTGAGGAAACTTTGGCTTCTTGTCTTTGGCTTCAATGTGGAAACGAAACCAGGTAAGAACGAAGAAGTGCCGCTATGTTTACAAGCAGACAGGCTCAAGAATCAGCTGTAACTCTGTGTGCAGTAAATCACTCAGTGTCATATCACCAGTGAAGCTTCTACAAAACATAACTTTATAAGTCGACTGTTATTACTATTATAAATGTCACGTACACTATTGGTAGCAGCTACGTGGACGTGTGGATGATTCTATGTTTCTATTAGTAGTCCATACTTCAGTCACAGTGTAGGCTCTATGTTCGCTGTATATGAGTTTATAAATGATGTGATGGTGATTGTCGCTCACTCGGTCTCTCACGGCTCCAGCTTCAACTTGTACCACTTCTCTGTCTTTTCTCTTTCTCTCTGCTCGTTCTAACTCCATCTGGTAAAATTCGGCATCAGTATAATCGGGTTCACAAAGATCTCCCCTTGGGTTTGTGGTAAAGGCAAAGTCTTTATTGTCGGTGTCATAATCAGACATGTTGTCGCTAACATTCCGAGCAGTAAACAAAGTGAACCAGGCTCATATACTTATGGCGCTAGCTCTCTCGTTAGCTCTCTCGCGTGGCGGCGGTCTGCGCATGTAAACACTGCCGAACAACTGAAGAAAGTGATGGATCCGTGCGCGGCTGTTACCTGGCGGCCGCGCGCAGTGGTACGTACGGAGAGAAAATAGCGCCAAGCGATTATGAGGTCTGACTTTTTTGGCGACAATGGTTTTGTGATGCAAATGTATCACTCTTTTGAACACATATTGCTTTGAGGAGAAAAACGCTTTAGTATACAGTCCCCACACAACTTGCCGAACTACTTTCCTCAGCACCAAAACGGGCCAGTATCTCGGCTCACCGGACGCTCGGTGTGGATGCACAACACTGATGACGGGGATGCCATATAGATTTATGTCAAAAAATCCGAACTATCCCTTTAAACCTTTATATCTTCATGGAGACCAAGCCAGATCTCTGGAGAGGCAACCTCGTTCACAGTCAGAATAAGTGTTTTTCTAGGTATTTTTTGAGCTGTAAAACTACCTGCAATTGCATAAACATAAGGTACAGCTGTTCAATGTCATACTGTGGAACATTCCAGGCAGAGCAATGACACATCCATAGAAACAAGCAGGTGACAGACCCCCAACCAAAAAGTCACATTGTGTAGCTTTAATATGTTGCCAACCCTTTCTGACCTGAGTGGGCATGAGGCTGTGTAAAGAGGGGAAGCAGGACCTCCTCTCTTGACCAGACATGGAGAATCGAGCACGGCCACTGCTGCTGCTTGTGCTCCAGGATTCTCGTTGAGGTTGGGGGGCGCTCTCCTTCCACCCGCCCGGGAGAGGCAGGTCACTGGGTCTGCGCAGCTCCACCATGGGCACCATCTCCACAGGACTGGGTTCAACCTAAAACACAGTTTTAGCACTATTAAAAAGTCCTGTATTGTACAAAATTGACTCATAATGTTCTGTTCCACCTTATGATGTCATGAAGCAGTAGTTTTCAAGTTAACAGCTACCTTTTTACCTTTAGTTTATTAGAGATAGGTAATTGCCATATTACTCTTATTGGAGATATCTAGGACTGTATGTGCTGCATGCTGGGACATTTCATCCAAAACAGTACTCTGGTTAGAGAGTTAAGATGGACCACAGGAATGGATTTGTGGAGCTGTACCCTCCTAGGACCTAGTGTGTGGACATATACGTTCAACACATTTTGGGTTGTTCAGGCACTTAATAGTTTTTGCAAATCATTATTCAATTGTGACTTTGTTATGTTCCATCAAAATTATTTAAACATAAAATGATTTTTTTACATATCATAGGTGAACATATAAATATAAAAATATAATTCTTTGTTCTTGCACTCATAAGGTCCCAATCAGCTCAAAATAACAAAGAGAAATCAATAAAGCATGTCATGCTTTTCAGCAGTTCGGGTCCTAGGAGGTTAATGGCCTTTCTTGTATCTTTCTGTTTGTCTGTCCTTTAATCTCTCCAACCCTTTCACTTGGTTATCTATAAGCACATTTAAATCACATTACCGGTACTAACTGAAATTAACTGTCACAGAGCTAGTACATATAATGAGCATATGAATAACTGTTAAACAATGACATTAACTGTCACATATAAATGTGTAAATTAGCATCGGAACATTCCATAACAATTAAAGAAACAATTAGATAAACTGTGGAATTTAAGGGTGTTTTTGTCTCAAATATTAAGCACTACTGAAACAAAACACAACTCCAGGTATGTTTTTGAGGAAGTAACAACATTATAGCATGGATGAAAGCTCCCAAGAAGCCATTTTGTGTAATACAGGGCCTTTAATATATTGTATGTTCTACCAATTTATTTACAGACGATGCTTTGGAAGATCAGTCAACTTTTCACACATACACTTCTGCAGCTGTATCACACCACGGCATGTTGTGTTGAAAAAGTACGCTCAGATCACACCACATAAACCACCACAGGAGGTTCACATGCTTCCGTTTAAAAAACACCAGTGTTCAAAACTAAACTCATGACATTTTGTCTTTTCTCTCGTTTTTACCTCACCCTCATCTATGGAGCCTCACTACAATTTACTTTCTTACCGTTTCTTTTCAGCCCAACAAAGTGTTCTCTTTTCGTCTGTTGTAGACAAAAGTAATCTAAAGATCTACGGTACTTAAAAGCGCAGGCTAGTTTTAGTATTATTAGTATCTGATATGGCAATGCTATTACACTATGACAGCTCTTTCATATTTAACTGCCTATCTCAGGTCAGCAACAATTTTTTTTTAGGTTTCAAATTTCACTTCCTGGTTGGAAATCATGACATCACACTAGAGATTTCTGTAACTGTTACCTAACAATAATGCAGTACAACAGGTCAAACCTTATGAAATGTAAACAGAAATTATCATAAGATTAACACAATTATACAACAACGAAAACAACTTTATTTTGTTAAAATTATGTTTAAAGTATCAGAAAATAGTTTCTCCCTCGTGTGATGTCATCAACTTTAAATAAAACTCTCCACTTCCTGTAATTTTCAACATATTTTTCAGCTTTTCTTCTCAAATTCACAAATGCTTCTTGATTGATGCCAAACTTCACTTACAGAAAGAAGAAAAGAATCATCAAAACCTGCAATTCAGTGTCAGATTGGTTTTGCAGGGTTGTATTTCACAACTCATACTGACAACTTATAATCACTGAAAGTAAGAAACTAAGAATGTGTATAGCCTCTATAATAGTTCTCTGGGTGGATGCTATTAAAATCACCAAACAAATACTGTTTAAATAAGATGCAAATGAGGTGAAAACTTCAACTGAACACACAAACAAACCAGATACCATTTCAATTCATTTCAGCAAGAATCGCAATTGCAAAACACACATTAACAGGACAAAATCTGAGCTTTCCCAACCTGACCAGTAACAAAGAAAGCACTATTATCCTGCATATTAAAGGTGCACTGCGTAACATTACTAGTGGAGGGTCCAGCACCTGTTTGTCTCCATGGAAATGTTATTGCTTTGTCTAGAATGTTCCACAGTATAGATTAAATCCTTCTATCACACTACTATTGGAATTCTTTTAAGTTAGCACCTAACACATCTAGTGGAAGGTGATGTGGTACCTGACTGAGCTGAACAGAGAGTGGAGTCACTATCACTAATCCACAGCTTCACCCTGATCCGTGCGCTGGCTGGATGTAAACAGACACACGTGAGGAAACACTCTCGCCTTTTTACTTTTAAAGAACACCTCAAACTGGATTAATAACGTGATTTTGTGGACTGGGTGTCATTATTTGCGGAGGACAATTTCTAAGGATAATGTGGATGAGATGCTGCAGTTTATATTTACAAAGTTTATGAGAGGTGAGTAATAATTATTTTCGCTATATGCAGAGTTTGTATCTTACGCCTCTGTGTCCGTCACTCTTCTGACCCTGACATTTTTTTGGCGGATACTGTAGCATTGCTGATGTTTGTAGCAGCTCAGAGTCACACTGACACCACACACATGCGGACCGCAGTGGCTTCAAAAACACAAACAAAAACAAAAGTCTGGTCACACTAATTGCAGCCAAAATCGGGCAAATTCTTCTGTAGTGTGTGGCGGCCTTTAATAATACATTTGCAGTGATTCACAATCACATTATGTATCTGTTCTGATCTGATCAGACGTTTCACCACTGCTGATCTAACAGTGATTTTAGCTCATTTGTATGAAGAAAAACAAAAACACCACACCACTTCAATCCAGGTTAAAAATACATTGTAACTCACATTACTGACATTTGTACCGAGTAAAATATTACCAGTTTGGCAAGGGAGTGGTTACCTGGCTCACACTGAACAGATTTTGAAACTTTGGTTTTTGAGCTTAGTTTTTAACATCATATCATGGGACTTTAACCAACAAAGGAGTGCAGCATGTACAGGTCAAAGGACACAATTAAGGAACGGTTGGATTTTGTGAAATGGGCTGTATGTTTTTCCTGTATCCATGGAGACCATGCAGGAGGCTAGCTAAGTAGGTAGCTATGGACATTTGAGATGCTGCGGGCTTTACACACCGTATGTGGCAACATATATTATAAATAGTTTTATGACAACATTATTGCCTGATCTGTTGGTTGATTGTAATGCAACTTGGAAAAAAACTCAGAGATTGAATTACAGTGCAAATGGCTCCACTTACTGGCCCTATAATAATAATAAAAAAAAAAAAAAAACTGCGCTGTAAATATTCAAGGGCTCATATTAGGCTATTTTCAGATCTCTGTTATACTGTTGCTTCCTCATCACAAACACACCTGGAGTTTAGCTTTATTCACACATGTCTAACACACAACCCTGTATATTTAGGCTACGTTCTTCTCTCAAACACTCTGTTGGACCTTGTGATGTCATATGGTAATACCGGAAGTGCTCCACTGTGTTTTTAAACTCCATACACCTTCACTTGAAACATGTGGATAATTTCAGCAATGGAATTGTCTATCTCTGTGGCACAAAAACTTAAAACGTAGCTGTTAACTTGAATACTACCACTAATGATATCACAAGGTGGAACAGACCATTTTGAGCTTTGAAGATGTAAACTGACTAATACTAAAGGCAATACTCCAGGTATGTTTTTGAGGAGGTAACAACATTATAACATGTCTTAATGCTCAAGAGTCAATTTTGTGTAATATAGGACCTTTAAAACTAACCACCTGAACACAAACGTGGATATCATGGTAATGGGGGTAGGACATACCTTGTCTCTGGGTTTGTCCTGTACAACTTCTGTGGACTTGGGAGGGTCTCTGTAAGGAAACATGGCGTGCCCGTTCGTGTAGTTTACGTGATTGACAGGTATGCTCTGAGGAGGAGGGTGCAGGGTCACAGGGCGCCACTGGGGAACAGGTCCATGCGGCGCCTGCGCTCTGGGACAGTGCTGCTGTGGCTGGTTATTGTAGTTTTCACCATCTCTCCGGCTGGGCGGATTGTAGACTGGGCATGGGATGATATTAAAATTTGGTGTCAAGATTATCATGGATAAAATAATATCGATTTATGATTATGATCATGATTATGAAAGGCACATTGTGTAACTTTTCCAGTGGAGGGCCCGTTAAATACTTTTCCTCATGGAGATGTTATTGCTTTGTCTAGAATGTTCCACAGTAAAGATTAAATCTGCCCAACTCAAGGGAGACAAGTACAGGTTACATTACAGGTCAGATCTGTGGAGTTGCTACCCTTTTCACAGAGAGAATTATTGTACTTTTGAGGAATAGGAACACCCATAATGAATAAATGTGTTTAATGTCTTACCATGAAACATTCTAGGCAAAGTAATAACATCTCCATGGAAACAAGCAAGTGACGGACTCTCCACCAGAGAAGTTGTACAATACACCTTATGGCTGGGATCTCCAACCTGTAGCTTGGGAGCTAACAGTAGTTCTCTACCCCTTTACAAGTAGCTTGGCAAAGGATTTCTGAATTATACATATTGTACTAAATAACTGAAATTTGATTAATTACCACTGTAAATGTGTTATTTTGACCTTTGTGCACTAATAATGGTTTGATGTTTTATTGGCATCTAACTGTAGCTCTAAGGCTTGCCCTCTTATATCAAATCAATTTCTTGCAACCACAAAAATGGGTAGCTCTCTGGCATTTTCATTTTGTAAAGGTAGCTCACCAGACACAAAAGGTTGGAGATATTATCTTATGGATATGAATGATTTTATTATGAATAAGTTACATATTTAAAAGGTGCATTATGTGGCTTTTTGGTTGGGGGTCCGTCACCTGCCTGTTTCTATGGATATGTAACTACTCAGCCTGGAATGTTCCACAGTATGACATTACACAGGCCTACGTTACATTTATTCAAAAACAGGTGGTTTTATAACTTTAAAATATAGAGAAAAGTACATTCTGACTGTGAATGGTGTCACCGCCCCACAGATCTGACCGGTAACATGATCTGGTTTGATATCCATAAAAGTAGAAAGGTTTAATACCATATTGTGAAACATTCCAGACAGAGCAATAACATCTCCATGAAGAAAAGGGTTTGACAGACCCTCCACCAGAAAAGTTACATAATGCACATTTAAACAACTCTCATAGTATTGTACTTTGTTATAAGTGAAACCACAATGATCTACAAAAGAACATCATGGATAAGCGTCTTTTTTCGAACCACTGAAACAATGGTGATTAACTTTATTGCCAATTAACACGATTATACACTACCAATCAAAAGTTTTACAACATCCTAATTTTTCCAGTTATTTCTTTCAATTCAAGTCGTTCACGTCTAATGAACAGCGTGAAATGGTACAAAAGGTAAGAACTGAACAGTCAGGCTAAAAAAAAAGATAAAAAAATAACAAACCATGGGTCCAAGGCCAAAACTACCTCAGGAAAAAAGAACAAGATGGTGCGCTTGAAAACATGGAGTGTCCAGCACAGTCTCCAGACTTAAACCCCCCTGAGCTGTTTTTGGATGAACTGGACAGAAGAGTGAAGCAACCTACAAGTGCCACACATTTATGGGAACTTCTGCAACATACATGGGAAGAACTTTCTGAACAATATTTGATTTCGACTGCCACAAAAGAATGCCACGAGCTGTCATATCTGCCAAAGGTGGACACTTTCATGAATCAAAAGTTTAGAATACGCTTTGGTCAGCAGTAAACAGTAAACAGTAAACAGTAAAAATGTGGAAAAACTGATGTTCTAACACTTTTGACTGGTAGTGTATAAATGTCCCACAAATGATTAATATCTACCCTTTTAGTCATGATACACGATATTATTTACTGTCCCATCCATACCGTAGCTGTGTTGGTGCTGTGATGGGTGATAGTGGTGGGGTCCTGGAGGGCGTGGAGGGTGACAGGGGTTGGTGCCAAAGCGCTGCCTCTGTCTGTGGTGCTGCTCTGGGCCGCCGTAGTGCAGAGAGTTCCCGTACGTAGGCCTGTCGAGATAACACAATTTGAGAAACAACTCTAAGAGGTGCACTGTGTCATTTTTCTGGTGGAGGGGTCCTCAAAACACTTTTCTTCATGGAGATGTTATTGCTTTGTCTGGTATGTTTCACAGTATGGCATTACACCTTTCTATCTTCATGGAGACCAAACCAGACCAAGTTACAGGTCATATCTGTGGAGAGGCGACCCCGCTCACAGTCAGAATGCCTGTTTTTCTAGGTATTTTTGAGCAATAAAACCACCTGTAATTGAATAAATGTAAGGTAAAGCTGTTTAATGCCATACTGTGGAACATTCCCGGCAGAAAAATCCCAGTAAACCTATTTTTAAATATACTGTATTGTTATAAAGGCCTGAGTTGTAACAAATATGTAACAGAGTTAACAAAAAATTAGCCACATAAAATTTAATTCTTAATTCTTATTAAATTCTTAAAGCCATAGAGCGTAGAATAAATAAAAGTGTATATAATATTTCTGTATATATTTTATTTTTACTTGTACATACTATACCATGTATATAATTGGTATGCCTTATTTGAAACCAGTCTCTTGTTATTTCTGCTACTTATTTTGAATTTAATATTAACATTGATATATTTCGCTCTTGGTTATTATAATATATTGTGATGTGTGAGCTACTGTGTCCAAATAATTTCCGTTGTGGATCAATAAAGTTTGTCTAAAGCCGTGCTCACACCAAACACGAATGGTACGAATAAATCGCATCAAATGACCCTAGTTTGCCGGTTGACTCTTAAGTCATTCGCTTCATTCACGTGTCCTGGTCTCTTGAGTTTGGGAATTTGGTCGGGCAAGTAAATCCGCTCTATTCACTCCAGAAGTGCGGCTGCACGGTGTCCTCTGCATCTGTTTTCATTTTGAAAAATGGCAGACTTGAACTACATCGACCGGGACTGAGACCGGGACTGAGACCGGGACTGAGACGGGACTGAGACCGGGACTGAGACCGGGACTGAGTCCTGGTTCAGTCCTGGTTCAGTCCGGTTTGGTGTGAGCATGGCTTAAAGGTTGTATGGAGGATTTTTCAAATTGTCAATGATAGCATTATAGAGACACAGTAGCCTTGTAATTATGATGACCAAAAAAAAGAGAATAAAAATTCATCAACTCTGGACGTGGTGGGGCCACCTAAACATTTGCCAATAGATAACGACACTGCCTCGTTATCTGTTAGCTGACAGGCTGTCAATCAAACTCCCTACATTTCTAGCGTAACTGACTTGCCTGCATGCTACCATTACGTGGTTTACGTACGCCTGTCACGCAGTCCACAGATGCAAGACGCACAGACGCTGTTTACTCCACCAACGCAACAGTTCTTAGCGGCTTTTTTGACCTATATCTTCCTCGCAGTTAGCACAAAGTTTGTTGCAATGGCAGACAAGAATCCAGGAGCAGTTAGCCGCAAAAGAAAGTCCGTTTTTGAGGTCGCTGAAAGAAGAAGACAAGGGGAAAAGCAGCGAAGCCAAACTAAGGTGATTCTTGGAGATTCATTCCAGCGATGGTGCGACTGAAGCAGACGAAGGGTCTAAAGACTGACACACTGGTCGCCAAATTACTTCTGGACAGGTAACTTCTGCTTATTATGAAAACGTACTTTATTTCCAAGAGCTAGACAAATGTTTTTCAAGACACGAATGCGATATCCTATGCCTGAAAACGTAATTTTCAATGCAAAGAAAGAGCCCGCTTGCCGCTGCGTGTTGTAGCTAGTTCATTCGCACGGAATCTCTGCGCACCCCTTCCTGCTCCTCTCCCCGTTCCGTTCTTCTCCCTGCTCCTCACTTCTCTGCGCACAGAATCTCCTCGCACCACTCCCCTCTCCTTTCACCTCTCCCCGCTCCGCTCTTCCCCCCGCTTCTCACTTCTTCTCCGCGCACCCCCTCCCCCCGCTCATCACTTCTTCGCCTTGCATAACCAACACTATAGTTAGTTGTTTACAAGTCATGTGCAGCGATGAGTACTTGTTTTCTAAAAACCAACCTGTTTCTGGCGTAAGAAGGAAGCGGGAGGAGGCGTTTCTACATAGGGAGCTGTGGGGGAGGGGGGGTGGTTTCACACATGCGCAATATTTGAAAAAGGACAAACAGTCGCTGGATTTCTCGTTCCTTGGAAAATCCTCTATACAACCTTTAAGTGTAAATCTATGGCAGAATCTCATTTCTCTTTCCTCGCTTCCTCCTCCTTGGTTCCACTCCTCGATTCTGCAGGAAATAGATGAGGAAGTCCCACCCATAGAGGAGACACGGGGAGAATCAAAACCAATAAAATTTGACACTTGAAACGTCCCTCATGTTTATTCCTCCCTTTCAAAGAGAAGGAAGCGAGGAAAGAGAAGTGAGACATGGCGTAAGTCCAAAAGTGACTTTTAGCAGACCTACCTGTGAGGCTGGTGGGGGAAGCGGTTGGGGATCTGTGAAGGCTTCATTGGGGTCTCCTGAGTGAAGGCGGGGCTGTGCTGCGGAATATAAAGGTCCCTCACTGGAACAGAGACAAGAGGGTTCATGTTAGGATTTCTTAAGTAAATGCTAAATGATGCTAACAATTGAATTACTAATACTTTGAAGTAAATTCCCTGGGGGTCGATATCCTGGTTGGGCCTTTAATTGGATGTAATAAGACTATTTACAGGCTGATTTTGGCAAAGGAAAAGGAAATAAGTGTCATTTTCCATCCCTACCTACAGACTGGCCAAACTGGGAGAAAAACAGTGAAATTTCTTCTTAAATCTTTAATAATTTTAACATGGGCTTATCTTCAATTATAAAAGCATGTTGGGTTCCCTTTTACAGACTTTAGGACACATCTCACCTCTTTCCACGAAGAAGATAAAATTATCTAATCACAACTGCTTGGCCCCTGAAAAGTGTTTAGTACATCTGGGCTTTTCACCACATAGTTAACAGACTGCACTAACCATCACCAAATCTGTTAAAGCCGAGAACATCATGTACTACTACCTGTGTACATAAAAGTCAGTGGTAGATATCCAAGTCATATGACACACAGCCAACATTGGGTCTGGCAAAAACTAGACTGGACTTCAATCTCTTGTGGTTTCTCATCTATTTTACAGTGTTGTTTCCTCATCACAAACATGCCTGGAGTTGTGTTTTGTTTCATTCACACATATTGAACACGCAAACCCTGCATATTTAGGCTGAGTTCTTCTCTCAAACAGAAAACACTCTTTTCTGCCTTGTGATGACATGCAGTAATACTCCAATACAGGAAGTGCTCCATTGTGTTTTTAAGCTCCACACACCTTCACTAGAATCATATGGTTCATTTCAGACCTGGAAATGATCTCTACTGAACAAAAGGTAAAAGGTAGCTGTAAACATGAAGACTACAGCTTCATGACATCACTAAGTGGAAAAGAGCATTTTGAGCTTTGGAGATGTAGACAGACTAATAATGCAAGGTTACTCAAGCATGTGTGTGTGAATGAAACAAAACACAACTATTGGGCGGTAGTAGCTCAGTTGGTAGAGCATTTGCCCACTGATCTGAAGGTTGGCGGTTCGATTCCAGCTCTCGACAAAAAAAAAAAACCATCACAGGTTGAGCAGTCAGATCCACTGACCCACAGGTTGGCTGGTGTGATTCCAGCTCCCACAGATGAATGCTGCGTTGTGTCCTTGGGCAAGACACTTAACCCACCTTGTCCACAGTGTCTGCATACACTGGTGTGTGAATGGGTGAGTGGTTCCTTGCTGTAATGCGCTTTGAGCACCTTGAAGGTGGAAAAGCGCTATAGAAAAATTTGACCATTTACCATATATTATGATGTTACCTCATCAGAAATATTCCTGAAGTTGTGTTTTGTTTCATTCACACACACATGCTTGAGTAACCTTGCATAATTAATCTGTCTATATCTCCAAAGCTCAAAATGCTCTTTTCCACTTAGTGATGTCATGAAGCTGTAGGAATGTTTCTGATGAGGTAACATCATAATATGACTTAGATCATACGTTATGTAATTATGTCACTCATGTGAGCTTTAAGAGCAGGTTCTATTCTGTCCTTTGTGATGTTGAAGGAATCACACATTTTTGTCAGGGTTAAGAGGCTAAGAGGGTGGTAAAATATAGATACTTTGCAATGACATCACACTGAGAGTTTGTTCTGCATGCAGGTCTATGGAGGAATGTTCAACAGATCACAGATCTGTTTAGGTACCGGTATTTGAATTTAGAACAAAAAAGTAGCTTGGTAGCTTGTGGCTGTAATGTTATTCTATAGGACTTGTTTAGCAGCACAGCAGCTCACTTGTTATTGATACTTTGTAGCTGATGTCATCTCATGTTAGAGGCTTTGTTAGATTTATACTCGGAGTTTTTTGCGAGAATTTACATGGAATTACAGCAGGTGATCTGGAAGACACGATGAGGTGAACTGAGATAACTTGCCCCAGGGATACGGACAATGTTTGTTTTTAAAGAAGAGTGCTGCTTTTCAGTTCAAATTTGTTTACTGATGCACCTGTTATAAAAACTAGCATGACAAGTCAGGCTGCTCTGGCAAAAGTGAGACAGGGGAATAATGAAATACCTCACTCCAGGGACTTTTGGATGTGTTTTTGAAGGATTCCAACCAGTTTTCAAGATGAACTCATAATATTCTTGCTTTGTGCTTTGTTTTAGGCCCGTATAGAGTTTGGGATTGACTAGGGTGACCAGATATTCAAAATTAAAAAATGAGACACACCCAGGTTTAGATGGTTGGTAATAATAAAACTGAAAAGAACGCTAAACCTCAATTTTTTTTTTCCTCGATTCACATGTGTGCCTGTATTTAATCTGTGGGATTTCTGTCATTGCTTTTTTTCCTCATGCTTATTTTTCAAGCATGGTTTTCTGTATTGCAGCTAAAAAAGGGCAAAATGTTGGCCCTTTACTGCTGGTGGGTAACAAATTATAAGGGATAACTGGGACATTTCTATAAGGATTGTCTACCCTGTCACCTTAGGATTAACTATCAAAACACAACTATAAGCAATATCCACCATAAAGGCACATTAAGCAAAACAATATGAAAAGTAAACAAGAGTTATGGATTAGGGCTGCAGGATCACAATCACAACTGAATCAAAATTGTGATTTGAACAGACACAATTCGAATAAGCTGCAATTTTTGAAGTGCCATAAATTCCTGCCATTACAACCATTTGCCTTTTGAAATATGCTGCCTGAGTCCTGGTGTCTGACTGATGGATTAGCTCGTGATACCTGCTGCTGTGGTTGGCGTATCACCTTCCTGCTCCTCCATTCCCATGTCTGCAACCGTCTGAGCCTCGAGGCTGAACTAAAGTGTCAGTGTGCCTTTTGTTCATTGTAATTACAACTCGAGACACTAGAGGACACAACTTATTAATTAAGGAGTCTTTTCATTGTACACTTGATTTTCCCTTTGTTATAATTTATTTGTATTTATTTATGTCAAAAACTGGGCCTTCATTTACGGTAAATAATAATAACCGCTTAAAATTCACGGTTTCACATCTTGGTTATTTATGTTACTTCCTTTCTACCATAGGCTACAAATGGGTTCTAACACCTCCACAAACAATACAATATCCGGTTTTATTCAACATAAAAACTGCTAACCCAGTACTTTATATCTGTACAGACATGTTCTGAAATGTGATTCTTGTATTCAGTTCATATTACAATTTTTTCCCTAAAATTTTACGAGCAATTACCAGACCATTCAAAAGTCTTCCAAGTTTCGCATTTAGCATCTTAAATACAGCACAATGCCAAGCTCTGTTGTTAGTGTCTTGTAGGGCTGGGCAGCTCATTGTGGTTTAATTTAATCAAGATCTTTGGGAGACTGTCCCATTACTGCCTAGTGCCTACATGTAGTAGTCAGATCTACAGTCAACGCTGTGGTATGCCTTTATGTAATGTCTTTAGTCTTTGGAATGGAAAGCATGGCATTTCTTTAAGTTTTGCCATTTGTCTCTCTCACAAACACAGACAGACAGACACACACACACAGAGTTGCAGTTAAGTTTGTTTCAGTTCCAGTGTACACTGTAAACAACTCCAGGAGCATTTGACAACATTTGAGAGAAGACTGAAGTCTGAACTCTAACACAACTAAAGAATTGCAAGCATTTCCAAACATGAAGTACTGGTCTAAACTACAGGCGCAACAACATTTTTCTACCATAGTGATAGAACAAAGGTTGCATCCTGTGTGCCAACTCAAACTGCAATTTTGATTTGATTTGATTGAATTGTAATGTCAGCTAACATTTTGTGTTTTACTTATACAAAACCACATTTATAACCATAATAATTTCTCTACTTGTTCTGCAAGTCTGAAATGAATCGTGCTGGTTTATTTGGTTGCAAGCGTGAGCTGGCTCGTTTTAATTGCTAGCATTACCGTTCGCACACCCTTTAGGGCATGTATGGACAAAAATCCCTGCAACGACTTTATATATTGACCTCACTGTACAATAAATTAAACTCACCTTTACTCCCTGGAGAGAAATGTTCAGAGAGTATCCTGCAATCAGAAGACGAATTGTCATCTGTATGTGCATTTAAAAACGCATTACTGTATCCATGATAACCATAGTAACTACAGTAATAGTAATAATAATAACAATAATCCGAAAAATTTAAGCTGGGCTCCATGGCAACTGTTTCATGCATGCCTCAGATAGACTTTGAACGTTTGGAGCGCGCTGGTGAAGTTTCAAGTGAGCTAACGATGGGAGGACGCACGCTTTTTGACAAACCAATCACAACATGACAGCACCGCTTCCCCTAGTCGCACTGTTGCGGGTTTTGTTCTCCAATTTCACCCGTGTTAGTTGTTTAGATGTGCAGAACAAAGGGGCAATGTGTCATAAAATCCCCTAGCTAACTCATGCTTCAATCACTTTAGCTATTTTTGTGCTAAACATTAGGCTAGTTGGTAAACTTCACTAGAAAACTATGTAAATGCCTTTTATAAATGACAATTCACGTTATGAATTCATGTTATGTATATGGTAATGGATGCATGTCATACTAAAACATAAAATGATTCTTTTTGATGCATTTGAATAAAAAAGTATTTTCAGGAAGTGGCCACTCTAGCTCACGTTAGCATGTTAGCTTTAGCAGTTTGTAAGTGTTGTAGATTAGCTCTGATGGCTCTTACCCGTAGTCTCTGTGGTTTTTTGATGATTTTGTCATATTGCGTGGTAAAGAAATAAACGCAAACGTTAGTTAAAGCATGTAAATAAGTAAGGATTCAGTGCTAAAACATCGCAGGAAGGAAAACATCTCTCCCGCCTGGAGAATGACCGGACTGAAGAGAAGGGGATCATGGGAGTTGGTGTTAAGCCTGGAGGAAAAACGCCTACAAATCACATATAGCCTTTCATATTAATAATAGTGTTACATTTAATGTAATTTGATCCCTCAGTGTTTAAATCCAGACTGAATTAAAAAAATAATAATGATAAATTAAAAAAAAAAAAAAAAAAAAAAGGTTTTAACAAATCCATCCTTCCATCCATTTTCGTCCGCTTATCCGGGGCCGGGTCGCGGGGGCAGCAGCCTAAGCAGGGACTCCCAGACTTCCTTCATCCCAGAGACGTCCTCCAGCTCCTCCGGGGGGACCCGAGGCGTTCCCAGGCCAGCCGAGAGACATAGTCCCTCCAGTGTGTCCTGGGTCTTCCCCGGGGCCTCCTCCCGGTGGGAAATGCCCGGAACATCTCCCGAGGGAGGCGCCCAGGAGGCATCCGGAACAGATGCCCGAGCCACCTCAACTGGCTAACAGTTAACAAATTAATAATAAAAAAATAAAAAATAATAAGTACAGTGTATGACAAAAAAAAACAAACAACAAAAAACAAAACAAAACTGAGATGTTGATTTGTATCTTTGCAAAAAGAAAAAAAATATCAGAGGGTCTATAAGTATCCAGCATGGGTTTTTTGACAGTCTGAGGGTCTGGGCATCTTCTGGAGATTCTGCAGTTTGTATCATAGAACAGTAGAAAGTATCATTCAAGGCCACTGAACAGAACATTTTGCACTGTAGTAAGCATTATGTATGAAATGAGTACAATAAGATGATTGTTCACAATAGCTTTCAGTTAAGTAACTTTGTAATTTCAAAGTTTCAGAGTTCTTTTTTGGCAACATACTTTCACTCCTACTTGAGTTATATTTTTATTGAAGTTACAGTACTCTTACTTGAGTAAAACTTTTCTTCCCACTGTGAGTAAGTCTACAATTGACAAAAGCTTTACATTGACAATATGAAATGATCAGAACTTTTGTGTTTCTTGTACCATTCCTTGATTCTATGATTCAGTTTCCTAATTTTTGTCTGTCCTTTGAAAATAAAACATTAAATAATGCACAAAATGTGTTGATCTTCAAATTAATTTAACTTCAATCAGATGTTATGTGCTGAGCTACTCTTTAAGTTACTCTTTAAGTTGAGTACTACTTTTTGAAAATACTCTTTTACTCTTTCAATTAAATTCTAATTCAAATTCAAAAAGTTTATTGTCAAATTTCCATATGAACATATGAAAAATTTAAATGTTCTTGCTCTCAATCTTCTACATCAAATAATAAAATAAAAGGAAAAGTCCAAGTGTTCTTCAGGGAGATGCAGATTCCTAGCTTCCTGGCTGCATGGTGGTAAGGGAGGGGAGAGAGTTCAGCATCCTAACACCCTGGTGGATGAAGTCGTTAGTGAGTCTGGTGTTACGGGAACACAGGGTCCTGTACCTCCTCCCAGGAGACTGAAAAGATTGGGTAACTTGCAACACTGACAATTGTGATGTCTTTGTGGGTGAGGCGGGTGGTGTATATGTCTTGCAGGGAGGGGAGTGGTGCACGAATGATCAGCGTCATTCAGAATTATGATGCACACCAAAATATTTTACTGAAAAAAAAAGTTAAAGTAAAACAACAGATGCCATGTAATAATGTTTATTGCACAATGAGACAAGAAGTCAAGCACACTCAGCAGGTATCTTTAACCTTTTCATATTATGTGAGCAACAGGAATAGTTTCAAGTTTAAGATGTTGTTCCCATACTGTATATTTATATTCTTTATACAGTCTAGGGTTGTTCCCCAAATCTACATACAATTTAATAACACCATAAGAACATATGCCAAAACCCTAACAATGGACCGTTTACAACACTAACAGCAGCACAGACTTACAATCAGACAAAGGAAAAGTAACTGACAGCTCAACTTTAAAAGGTGTACTGTGTAACTTTTAAGGTGGAAGGCTTGTCGCTTGCTTGTCTCCATGGAGATGTTATTGCTTTGCCTGGAATGTTCCGTGGTAAGACGTTAAACACATCTGTTCTATCTGTTTCATCTTCATTTATTCATTACAGGTGTTTGTATTGCTAAAAAATACAATAGAATAAGTTGCCTCTTCACAGATCTTACCTGTAATATAGCTTATAGTTGTCTCCCTTGAGATAAGTTTAATCTGTACCATGGAACATGCCCGGCAAAACAAAAACATATTTAGAGACAAACTGGTGATGGACCCTGCACCACAAAAGTTACACAATGCACCTTTAAAATATGATTTAAACAGTATTAAGACATGAACTGACCTTTTGGTCCTATCTGGCTCTCAAGAGATTGCAAAAAAAACATCAACTAGATTTCTGCATTTTCTTACAGATGCAAACATTAAATAATAAATATGATATTGAAATTTCCTTTTGACTAATCAGTAGCAATTAAAAAATACAGTGCATGTTCGCAATTATTAATCAATTAACACTATTCCAGAGTTTACATTTAATACATAGCCTACTCTTTAGGGCTGTAGTTTAAATGGGACAACAGCAGAAAGGGGAACTTAGTGAATTAGCGGAAGATTTGGTATTTTTTGCCATTTATATAAAAAGCAGATAAAACTCACAAGATTCACAAGTTTAATCTGTCTTTATATAAATACATTGATGTGCATAAATAGTTTAGTAGTCTTGTGAGTGCAGTTTGGGTCAGATACTGTACACAGAGACACGCAATAGTTTTGAGAGCCCCCTTTTTAGTCGACCAAGAATTTCTTACAGCCCTACTACTCTTAGATAAAAATACATTTGCTAGATTTTACAAAACAAAATATACATGGAAGAATTTATGCTTGAAGTTGCACTGCGTAACTTTTCTGGTGGAGGGTTCGTCAAATGCTTTTCTCAGTGGAGATGTTATTGCATTGTCTGGAATGCTTCACAGTATGGTGTTAAATCTTTTCATCTTTTTTTTCCTAGTTATTTTGAGCTGTAAAACCACTTGTAATTGAATAAATGTAAAGTAGATCTGTTTAATGAGATATTGTGGAACATTCCAGGCAGAGCAATGACATATCCATAGCAACAAGCAGGTGATGGACCCCAGCCAAAAAGTTACATAGTGCAGCTTTAAAATACAAGTGCTCTAATGTTACAGTTACCTTTCACATTCTCTTAAGAGCTGCTCGTCTCTGCCCTACTCTGTTCTGATGTGTCTTAGCGGTGTACAATCCTATAGAACAATCAGCAGGCTGCTTTACTTCTTGGCCTTCCCCTGAGCAGCCACAGCCTCCATGGCTTTGCGCACGGTCTCCTCATCTCCCAGGAACTGCATAGGTTTGACGGGCTTCAGGTTTTTGTCCAGCTCGTACAGGATGGGGATTCCTGTGGGAAGGTTGAGTTCCATGATGGCCTCGTCGGACATGCCTAAGACAGATAGAGAACTTTAGTGCAGAGTAAAAAACAGACAATATAAACAATATAAAAAAAACATAGCTGCAGCATTCAGGACATCTTGAAGACAAAAACGGCTTGATGCTCTATACCAATTTAGACAATGACAATAAAAACACTTTTATAGACAACAGAATGTCTCCCTCTGCTGGTCACAAACTATGGTTTTAAGTATTTAAGTATCAACCCAATATCAACCCATACTAGTGCAGAGACTGAAATAAGCATTTATGGTCACATTTTTATATATAACAAATTTCCACCTTTAAGGCACTCAAAGCGCTGTACATCACTCATTCACAGTGTAGTGTCTTGCCCATGGACACAACAACAGCATTCAACTGTGGGAGCTGGAATTGCACCGCCAACCTGTGGGTCAGTGGATCTGATTCACTATGTCAGGGAGCAGGATTCTGAGCTACTGTCTACATGGCTGAATGAGTTTTCAATTTTGTGTTGCCAGCTCATATGACAACTGTGCTATAAAGCCTAACAGCCCACTATATTACAATAGCAGTATAGGACAGCTAAAGGCATCCCAGGTTTAGATATGATGATTTTGCCATTTAAACAGCAATAGTCCACAGCTTTCAGGACAAAAATAATACCTTTATACATAGCTTTAGTTACATGAATGGACTTTGTTTAAATTGTGATGTTCCCCAAATATTCATCCCAGTGAGAAAACATTTTGTCATGTAGTTTTTGCACTAAAATCTGATACAAAGTAAGTTGATTTGTGTAAAATGTCCAATGTTCATGTGCACCAACAACTCAAGGAAGCAGTGATTCTCTGGGAGGTTTTAAAATGGCTTGGTAGTCCATATAGAACTTATTTTCTCTCAAGATCCGCAGCCCTGTGCAAAATACTACAACCCAAGTGACTATGGCGGGTTCTACAGCAACTTCCGGAATAAGATCGATAGGTAAGAAGATTTTTTTGTTGTATTATTATGTATAGTCACTACTACGTATTATTATGTATAGTCAGACATTCAGTCACTTGTAAAACTAAGATAAGAATAAGAAGCAGGAGTTACTGGTACTGACCCTCCAGGTGCTTGACGATGCCCCGGAGACTGTTTCCGTGCGCGGCGATGAGCACCCTCTTGCCCTGTTTGATCTGAGGAGCGATGACCTCGTTCCAGTACGGCAGAGCACGGGCGATTGTGTCCTTCAGGCTCTCACAGGAGGGCAGCTGGTCCTCGGTCAGGTCTCCATAACGGCGGTCCTGTACGGAAGAGGACATGAGGGAGACGAAGAGGTTTCATCAGAATCAGAAAAGTCAGAAAACATACTATATTGTATTGTATTTTCAAACTGGGAATCTGATTTGACAATATGACGCAACATAAAATAAATAAGATAAAAATCATAGACTGTATAAAGAACTAAGACTTAGGGAGTACGAGGTCACCCACAGCATTTCACCCAAGTCAAATGAAGCTCACCTAGGCCGGCAGTTATAGGAGTGAATTTGGAGTCGACTTCCATATTAGGAATAGGAATTTATTAACGGACAAAATAGTGAAATTAAAAAAACCACCACCATCATATAGAGTGGGTTAATATGAAAATTTTAAGACCAAAATGACAAGGCTCATAGATTAACTGCAATCAAATCGAAATCGCTATTTTTAATCAACACAATTCACAAATCGAAAAGGCTGTAATTTAAGTACCACCATTTCCTCCACAAACATAATACCCTGTCTATTTATGTATAAAATCTAACCCTGTATTTTAGATCTGTACAAACATATTCTGAAATGTAACTCTTGTATTAGTTTGGCAGTTCATATTACAATCTTCTCAAATATCATGGATTAATTGAAATTGTGGACTTACAGAATCCTTTTATTAAAACATAAATTGCAAATTTAATTTAATTTGTAAGCACAACATTGGTCATATGAAATCACAAGTACATAAGTTTAACAAATTATTCACCCCTACACAACTTATTTAAAGCTGCACTGTGTAATTTTTCCAGTAAAAGGCCTGTCACCTGCTTTTTCTCCTTTGAGATTTTATTGCTTTGTCTGGAATGTTTCACAGTATGGCATTAAACCTTTCTATCTTCATGGAGACCAAACAAGGTCAAGTTACTCGTCAGATTTAAGGAGAGGCGACCCCGCTCACAGCCAGAATGCCTGTTTTTATGGGTATTTTTGAGCTATAAAACCACCTGTAATTAAATAAATGTAAGATAGAGCTGTTTAATGTCATACTGTGGAACATTCCAGGTGACGCAATGACATCTCCATAGAAACAAGCAGGTGACAAACAACCTACCGAAAAGTTACACAGTGTTATAAATACAGAGATCACAATACAAGTAGTAAAATTTTACAATAACATGTCTATTACTTGTCTATATTTTACATTTTTATTATCTACTTTGTAAAATTATAACATGTCCTTTCACACTTTGCATTTATGATGATCAAACCTCCAGCTAACAACACAAGTAGGTTTGGCTGAATTATGACTTGTAAATATACTAACATACATAAAAATATGTATATTAATTAATTTCATTTTGGCCAGTATTTGTAATTGTATGATCACAGGTTGTCTGGTCTTTGCACAATGCTGAACTTTTGAACTTGTACAGCTCAAACCTTGTCCTCTTCAGTCATTTATTAACTGCTCCTCCACACAATGGGGGGAAACATAGGGTCCACGGAGCTGAACACAAGCCTCACATGTATAGAAATATCAGAGCACCTAGTCATTTTCCTAACAGGAGAAAAACAATCTTCTTACTTTTGCAGTGGAAGTTGCAAGTGTACTGAAAACGGTGTTGTAACTTTAAAAAAATGGTCTATATAGTGGTCTATGGGTGTGTGCTAGTCAATGTGCTCTAATACTTTTACTGATACAGCTCAAGATCATTCTAAAACTATTCAAGGAGAGGGCTGTTTCTGTCCTGTGAATGTGAGTTTTTTAGTATTGACACAAATGAGTATCTAGTTTTGGAACTAGGTCTTCTAGTATTGATTAGTATTGGATTGTAGATACTTCTGACAATCCTAAATTCCAGACAAAACCATGTTGTCTTCATGGATGCCCCTTTGACATGTTATAACACTGGAATTACAAACTTTTGTGATATACATTTCAGCATTCCTTTTTGTGTGTATATATGCAAATGAATGAATGAATGAGCTGACTCAATGCCAAACAAAATTTACCTGTTGGTACCAATAAAGTAACCCTGAACCTTGATCTTAGAGCTACTCCAGAACCAAAAAATGTGTTTCTTTCTCACAGACTTTATTCTAGATTCTGAAAACTATTCTATCTCCTTCTGCTCAATAAGACATATTTACACAGCACACACACAGATGCCATTTCTCCATCTTGCTAACTTACACACTAGTGATAGGACAATCTCACCTTGCTGATGATATTGTAGTAGTCATGATCGGGGCCCATGACGGGAGGGGGGATGTCAAAAGAGCGTCTCCAGATCTTGACCTGTGCCTCTCCGTGCTTGGCGGCGGTCTCTGCCTTGTTTAGCCCCGTGAGGCCACCGTAGTGCCTCTCGTTCAGTCTCCACGTGCGGTGCACCGGGACCCACATCTGGTCGATGCTGTCAAGGACGTGCCACAGGGTCCGGATCGCACGCTTCAGCACAGACGTGTAGCAGATGTCAAACTCGTAGTTGGCGTCTGTGGAGAGAGGAGGGAATAAGTCAGAAAGTGATGATGAGTGCAGTAGAGACGTCAAAGAAAAAGTAGAATCAGATGAGGGTTCAAATTATCAAAACAGATACTAATCAATCCAAAACTAGTAATGAAACTAGATACTAATTTCAAGTATTGATTAGGGTTGCACCAGTATGATACCGGTATCAGATATTGGCGTTGATTTTGAACATTTTGGTGGATCAGATATCAGTTCCTCTGGGGGGCATATAGGACAAAATTTGACTAATACTGTATATTGTTGGAGATTTTTGGACTGGAATCATCTACAAACAGCAGATGTACAAGAAGGATTCAGATGCTTTCCCTAATTGTCTGTCAGTGACCTTATTTACCCTGATGATGCTAAAGTAAAATCTCGTTTTGAATGACTGAGTTTGGATAACAGCCAAGCTCAAGTCCTGAAGGTCAAAAAGACAAACAAACAGTCTAGGTATCCTTTTAAAAGAACACGATATTTAACATTGCTGAAATTGCTTTCATGGATTTAAAAAAAGTTACATTCATTTTGTCCCACCCACTGATGAGAATAAGTTCAGCAGACATTTTTAGCAAATGATTGGCTGAAGACCTCTTATTAAAAAGACTGTAACTTGACCATTGACAATTACAATGGCACAGCCTCTGCCTAAATTATTCAATTCCTTGCACTCCACGTATTCCATTTAAATTGCCTTAAAATAAAGATGAGGTAAGATGACAATATGGAGGAGTACAAATCTTCCTAGAACTACTAAAATACTCAAGACAACATTACAACTCTATCATCTTAATTTTGTCTAATAGAAGATATCAAGCATAATATTAATTAATAAATATTGATATGTTTCAGATTCTTGAAAGTGACGTATTTGTATATGTACATCATTTTGCATTATAACTTTTTTAATTTTAGCTGTCTCCATCTTTATTAATTGCTATTGTGCTATAGAATACTGTGATTTCTTCTAAAACCCAGCTATTTAAAGTTAAAGAAGTCAAAATTATGATTATTTTATGTTTACCCACCATCTGTTATTAACTATTATCTCTACCCTATCTCTAAACATGTACCATTAATAAAAGGGGTGGGCAATACATTTTTTCCATGGGGCCACATGAGAAACAGAAAATATTGTGGAGGGCCAGACCAAAATACTTAACTCAATTCTGCATAATATTAATTGTATTTCTATATAAAAAGCAGTAATTAACATCATTCTGACAAGCTGGAAATTCTGGTAAGAGTATATGTTATGACTAAGCAATAAAAAAGGTTTGGTGAGGTTGTCTTTAAAAATTGTCATATAAAAATGCAATGCAGTGCAGCTTTAGTCCATGCATGAGGTAAAATTATAAAATATGTTGCTTTTCTAATTCTAAATTATATTAAACGGGCTGGTCAGAGTCAACCAAAAGGTCGTATGTGGCTCAGGAGCTGTACAATGCTTCGGTCTGGTCTGAAATGTTTCACAGCTAGGCATTACACTTTATTGTCCCCATAGAAATGTTTTTGTAATATTCCACAGCATGGCATTAAACTAATATAGCACCAATTAGACAAGAAGGTGACACCACAAAGCCAAGGCCCTGGTCATAAAAAGATGCAAGAGTGGTATGTTTAATGTCATACTGTGGAACATTCCATGACAAAGCAATAATAATCTCCATGGAAACAAGTAAGCAGGGGATTCTTCTCCAGAAAAGTTACACTGTACACCTTTAAATCAGACCTATTATGCAAAATGGACTTCTCAGAGGTTTTAGCAATGCCATAGTTGTTTCCCCTTCTTATTTCCCCACTCCTGTCACACCGATTACTTAATTATAATGTTATTCTATTGTTTTCTAGTGTGTTTCATCACTCCTCTGTCCTGTTCTGTTACATAAGCAGTGCCACAGCATGGTGCAGCCACAGTGGAGCATCCCCTTCGCACGTACGTCCCCGCAGCCAACATCATCGACGTGACTCAACTCAGGACTACACGAAGCTTTTGTAACGCCATCGCCCGCTCTCTACCGCATGCCAGACACGTTACGACGGATCCTGGAGCACGATCGCGCCGGTACACTTCACCTTTCAGGGCCTGGCCGCCTCTCCTCGCCTCCTTCTCTCCGGTTTCGCTCAGATCCGCGTCGAACCATCCGCAGAACCGATTCTCCTGGTTCCAGTTGCTCTCCCCGTGACGGATGAGGACGAGTTTATAAGCAGCCATTGCGGTTTTGAATGAGTTAGATGAAGTTTTAAGTTGGGATAAAGTGGAATGAAGCTGAGAGGAGGTCGGGATGAGCAGTTCGGAGCCGCAGAGAGATCCACTGGTTGCTAGCCGGGGAGCTTTTATCAGGGCATTGGTTCCCTCCCCTGCTTCCGGGTTGCGGCGGCCAATCGGATGCGGCGCTGCTCGCTGTGACGTTGAAACTGACCAATGGGAGCGGTGGGCGGTAGCGGTGGGCCCGTGCAGTGACCTTCATTCTGTACATTGTACCATAGGACTGTTTTATTGAGCAAGTTCCATCTTTTAAAAGCTTCTATATTACGCAAAATTGACTCTTGTGAGCTTTATGCCATGTTATAATGCTGTTACCTCCTCAAAAACGTACCTGGAGTTGTGTTTAGTTTCATTCACCCGTGTCTGAGTGACGCTTTATTTAGGGTGAACAGATTTTTCCAAATTCTAAACTGGGACACACCTGGGTTGGGATGGTTGGTATAAATAAAATGAGAAAAGAGCGTGAAACATTATACATTCTCGTCTCAATCATAATCTGAGGGGATTCTGAATCTGCATTTTTTTTTCTTTACTATTGGCGGGGATCAGATTGGTCAAGAATTGATATAATCCTGTTTTAGTCCTGGTTTAAAGCTGATGTATTCCTGGTTTAGTCTTAGTTTAGTCCTGGTTTAGACCTGGTTTAGATCAAATTGGTCAAAATTAGGGACCCCTTTGACATTTCCTGTATAAAACTGGGACAAATCAATGGTTTTGTATCAATCTGCTGGAACAGGGGATACAGGGCTCAAAACTGGGACTGTCCCGGATAAATAGGAATGTCTGGTCACCCTAGGCTAGTTATAAAGCTAGGGTGACCAGATGTCCCAATCTGTGTCCCCTTTTCCATTAGATTTATACAAAAAATGTCACAGGTTTCCCTATTTTTCACTAATTTGATCTAAACAAGAACTAAATCTGAACTAAACTAAGATTAAACTAGGACTACATGTGTTCTAAACCAGGACTAAAACAGTCACTATCACAATTTTTAACTAATCTGATCCCCACCAACAGTAAAGAGGAGCATAAATTATCATGTATTTAGCCAAAAAAACAGAAAACCATGTTTGCAAATGACCATAAAGCAAAAAAAAAAAAAAGCAAAAAAAAAAAAAAAAAAGCACAACGTTACATGCTCTTTCACAGTTTAATTTATACTAACCATCCCAACCCAGGTTTAGAATTTTGAAAATCTGGTCACCCTATACTAGTCTGTCTACATCTCCAAAGTTCAAAATACTCTGTCATGTCATGTGGTGGTAGTTTTTAACTTAACAGCTCCTTTTACATTTAGTTCAGTAGAAATAGGCAATTCCAGGGCTGAAATTATCCAAATGATTCTGATGAAAGTGTATGGAGTTTAAAAACACAGAGGGCACTTCCTGTTATTACCGCATGACATCACAAGGTGGAAGACAGTGTTTTGTAACTATGCAGGATTTGTGTGTGAATGAAACAAAACTATTCCAGGGATGCTTGTGCATTAAACATTATGTGTGCATTAACATTATAATATAGATCAGAAAATAGAGTAATTTGGGCCTTTAACCCAAAGAATAGACAAGATTAGAAACTTCACTCTACGTTGTCATTCTTACAGTGAATTTGATTTTGAGTTGGCGCTGCTGTGACAATTAGGTGATCAGGTTTGAAATATGTTTAACACATAAACCCTGCATTTTTAGGCTGAGCTCTTCTCTCAAACAGAAAACACTCCAGTGTTCCACATTGTGATGTTACGTGGTAATAGAGGAAATGCTCCACTGTGTTATTATAAAGTTTGTCTAAATTTATCCAAGTCTATTAAACTCAACACACCTTCACTGGAATCATTTGGATAATTTCAGCAGTGGAATTGGAACTTTTTTTTTTTTTTCCCAATGTTGCAGTTATGTGTATACTTTTACTTAATCAAATCTATACAATAGGCAAATGCATTTCCAAAAAACCTGAAGGCTGAGTTCACCTTGGACCTGGAGCAGATCTTTCACAACACAGCAAGGAGCAGTGCTATTGTCAGTCTACTTTATTAGCCAATTAAATCAAGAGCCATGAAACATTTACCACCAAACTTAACATGTCCATTTATTTTATGGTCAAGATTAAATGTGGTCACACTGAATCAAAATTAAGTCCACCAATCCAAAAATATCCACACATCAACAGATGAAGAATAGTTCCCTCTGCTCTATGTCCCATAACTCTTCACGCTCGCTCAAGTGCTCCTACTAGTGGATAAACGTGGTCAGACTTCTGCTGTTGACTTCATTGATCCACAAGAGGTCACTAGTTCTATTACAAATATGTATTTATGTATGAAGATGCACTAGGCTTAGGACTCTATATACTGTATACATAGAACTGCTTTTAAATCTATTCTCTGAGCCACAGGAGTTAGTGCAGACTGAGCACAGATCAGAAAGTACAATTATAAACTTTACCAAAATTGGGAAAAAAATTAAATAATAGTAAAACAAACACAAGGCAGTCCTTTTAGTGCTATATTAAAAGTCCTATCTTACATGAAATTGACTCTTGTGAACTTTAAGCCAAGTTTTTATAATCAAAAACATACCTGGTGTTGTGTTTTGTTTCATTCACACATGTTTGTGTAATCTTTCATTATTAATCTGTGTACATCTGCAAAGTTCAAAATGTTATGTTCTGCCTTGTGTTCTGAAGTTAACAGCTCCTTTTGGTTCAGTAGAGTCAAGACCGGAAATTCCAGGGCTGAAATTATCCAAATGATTCTAATGAAGGTGTATGGAGTTTAAAAACACAGTGGAGCACTTCCTGTATTACCACATGACATGCAATAGTTGTGAAGAACTCGGAAATATGCAGCACAACTCCTTATTTTTTATGAGAAAACAACATTATAACATAGATCGGAAAACAGTAAAAAATAATAGGGCTTTAAAACAAACCTCAACTGTGTCAATGTTTCTGATGAAAAGCATGGTTAAATGTTTAAAATTTACCACATAGTGACCTTTAATGCACTTTTCCATGTTCTGCTTTGATGTAAGCACTGTGAATGGTAGTTTACATACTATGCCAGTTATTGCCCACCCCGCCCATGTCTTTCCTTCTACAACTTTTTCCCCTCTCTTAGACTTTTTCTTCTTTTTTGCCCAGAAATGAGGAAGTGGTGTGGTATTTTCACTGTTCCAGAAATAGCCCCGTTCCCACCATGGCAGCAGAGCTTTCACACCCCAAACACTGCACCACTGTGGGGAAGGCCAGGCTTAGGTTAGCTACAAGACCAGACTATGCACCAATGACAATGAAAGAATGTATGTGCACAAGGCAGGAAAATGTGAAAATAAATAAATAACAGCAATTTATTTGTTATTGCTCTGTCTGGAATGTTTCACAGTATGGCATTAAACCTTTCTATCATCATGGAGACCAAACCTGACCAAGTTACAGATCAGATCTGTGGAGAGACGACCCCGCTCACAGTCTTAATGCCTGTTTTTCTCAGTAGTTTTGAGCTATAAAACCAACTGTAATTTAATACATGTAAAGTAGAGCTTTTTAATGTCATACTGTGGAACATTCCAGGCAAAGAAATGACATATCCATAGCAACAAGCAAGACGGACCCCCATTCAGAAATAATTTAAATGATTTGAAATGATAGCATGTGCCTTAAGGAAGGGATGTATTCACAATAGATTTATTGTATTGTATTGTATTTTCCATGTTATAATGTTGTTCCCTCATCAAAACCATCCCTGAAGAGGTTTCTCTCCCAAACCCTATTCAAACCCTCTTTGTGGTTAGATTCTGTCCTAAACACAACGATTCTCCATAAATATACAAAAGCATGATACAAAACAATACACTACAGTTTCACAAACCTGACGCAATGTGCCGTAGTTTCATTAGTGGAATGAATAATTAATAGTCTTTATTTATGAAGTACTTTTAACAACAAGGCTTTGTTGTGCTATAGAGACAGCAAAAAATGTACTAAAGCATAAAATAGCATACAGACAGATAAAAAAAAAAAACAGACAAAGAGGCAGGGCAGTTAACACAATAATCAAAAATCAAACAATTCAATCAATTATAATAAATACATTCATAAAATTGAATAAAAAATAAAAAAGTCAAACTAAAACCAGTTAAAGGAAGGCCAACTGGTAAAACAGAATTTAAAGAAGTGATTTAAAAGAAGATAGGCGTGAACCTTATCTCCTCAGGCAGGTCGTTCCAAAGTCGAGGAGCCCGGACTGAAAAGGCTCCATCAGCCTTTCATCCAGAGCCTGGACTTTGGAACAGTCACAGGGACCTGGCTGAGGATCTCAGGCTGTCAGAGGGCTCATAAGCTGTTAAAAGTTCTGAAATGTAACTTGGTGGAAGAGCTTTAATAGTGATCACTAAAATCCTAAAATCAATTCTAAAGCACACAGGAAGTCAGTGAAGGAAAGCTAAAACAGGAGTCATGTGTTGATGTCTGATTGTAATGTGACAGTGTACAGAATCATACTGTCACATTACAATCAGGATGCTCATTGTAACATGATAGCACTCTGAAGGGGAATTTACTTCTGCTTAGCCTAATGCCAAAGTTGGTTAGCTGTATGGTGAAGCTCAGTGGAATTTAAAAACACAGAGGAGCACCCCGAATTACTGCCGAATGAGGTACGGGCAAGCATTCTGCTCTCTGTAGAGGTAGACAGTAGACAGGCCAAATAAGCAGAATTACAAAAATGTGTGTAAATGAAACAAAACACAACTCCATGATTAAAAGACAAATAAATCGTTTTTGCATAATCAGAGCTGCTCCTCCTGTGTTTTCAGACCTTCTTGTGGAATGCCCATCTCAGCTGTCTCCTGTGTAAGGGCGGTTACCAAGTCGCTGTTCTGTTTCTTTGTCTGCATAGGCCTCATGTTCTACCACGCTTTTGTATTCTCTCAAAATAGACCCAGGAAGAGGCAGAGACATAGGACTTCATTAGGATTAAACCTGGACTAAACCTGGACCAAAGTGCTGAGCGAGACTTTCAGAGAATAGAAGCCACACCTGCAGAGCTCTGACCCAGGTTACACAAACAGTCC